TAGTTCAAAAGTAGCAAATTAAGTACCATGGAATATTTAAATTTTTTCTGTAGAGCAAATTTTTTCAAATGTTTTCCGCAACTAGATATGAATCCTAGTGTATTTTCAATACATCGATAATGGACCAAACAATGCTTCACCAAAATCTATTTGATCACTGGAATGAAAAAGATTTGTATTAAATCGATCTATGAAAAGTGCTCTCCTTGTATCTAATACAAGTTAATTTTGAGCATTGACCGTTTTCTAATACTAGTTCTTATAGGATCGTTTGTAAATATTTATATATTTCTCGCTCTGCCGAAGCAATATTGAAATGTAGGAACTGAACAACACTGCAAACTTAATTTTTTTCTCGTCTGGAAATTATTTTCCCCAGAGAATCAACAATCTGAAAAACATATTTTCTCATTGAAATCCTTCCCCAAAACGACGATAATTTTGCACCAATTCGAGTATTTCCGAAATTCAGTTTCATTCCTTGAATCATTTCAATCACTCAATTCTTACAAACCATCGATTTGTCAACTACTATGTGGACAATAAATAGCCTCATTGTATAATAATAAAACATATCAAAATATAAACTCAACTTAAAAATATATATGTACATTTCCGATTACACAAATACTTAACGATTTTTCACAAACCTCATGATATGAGTCGATAAAGATACTTTTGCATTGACGAAAATACAGGGACGACTTAAATATCCATCGCTTCCACAACCTCAGCTTTTGTATGGTAAGACGAACAAGTGAGGTACGTAGTTTTTGAAAGGTATCAGATTAGTATAGATGTAGTTTTCATTAGGTATTAGATTAGTATAGAGGTCAGATAATTTATACGACGCTATAAAAGCAGATGATATTTTATCATTGCTCATGTAAGATGGAAGTAGAGGCCATATCATAAGAATATTTTTATATTGAAACTATCATTGGGCACCAATGATGTGTATACGACGCTATGAAAGTTCAGAGAACTTGAGATTTTTCCCACAAACTACGTACTTAGCCCACTCGACTGTCTTGGTTTTTCCACACAAACTACGTACCTAACCCACTCGACTGCCAATAGGGACTAAAGAAACAAAAACAAAAGAAAGTTAAAACAATGCCAACATATTTCTTCTTCGCGGGTAATCAAGACAGTCGAGTGAGCTAGATACGTAGTTTATGGGCAAAAAATCAAGACAGTCGAGTGTGCTTTTTTTACTTTCTTTTGTTTTTTGTTTTGTTTTCTATTGGCAAGTGATTATCTAGGAACTTGTAAATTTTTTGGTTTTTTCATCGTATCTTCCGAACTATTGAATTATTCGGATTTTTTCTAGATTCTATCAAGAGGAATAATTTTGGTTCTATAACATTTTCAGTTGTTTTCGAGATATTTGGAATTATCTGAGAATGAAATTTTCAACACTTTTGTTCCATCTTCCAATCAACAAAATGAAAAAATATTTCATGGTTCAGTGGAAGTCGATGAGCTTTATCTATCGATAATCTTTGTTTTTCAATATATCTTCATAGTACCCTATGGGTCGTTAAATCTTTTTTTTCATATTTGTCACTTTATTTCCTGTACTATTGGGTTTACAGAAAAAAATATGAGAAATAATCTGTAGGAAATGTTCCAGTGGATAACTTTGCACTTTCGATAATTTTTGATTTTTCCATTTGTTTTCGATATATATTGAATTGAAAGGATTTCAAATTTTGATGTTTTGATTTTCATTTGTTTTTCCATTTCCCGATGGATGCACGAAAAAATGGTTAGATAATAGTTTGTTGCGTCATCAAAGAGGCATACGGTGCATTTTTCAAATTTGGATTTAGTCTATTTGTTCAGGAGATATGTCGTTTTAAAGCGAACCGTGTTTTTCGGAAAATCTCCTTGAAAAACCCACTTGGAATTTCCGGACCCTGCTCAATTTCAATAGGCTTCGTCTCTTCCTGATGGAGTTATTTTTCACAAAAACTGAAATCGATCGGACAACTTTTGCGATTTGTAGAGTGGTCGCAAGAAACTTTCGGTGAAAAATCGAAAAAACCCGAAAAAACCACCTTAGAGTTTTCTGATTTCCTTCATATTTTAATGACATAATATTGTTTTGAGTACAATAAGATGGCAAAATTTCAAGTCGATATGTCAAAGCGTTCCGGAGATATATCGATTTATGATTACCACAGAGTACAGACAGACAGACCACACACAAAAACCAAAGTTGCTCAAAATTCGATGGGGATCATTTTCTCCAAAGTAACTATAGCTCTATCTCTCTTAGTTTCCCAGATAGCATTTTTGGCCGTAGTATACTCCACTATGTATAGCGTCGTATAACAAGTTCAAATTTTTAAACTCAAGAGCTACATCATGATATTGCCTTTTCAGATTTGCCTTAGGAGTTTCTCCTTCTCCAGAATGCAAAAAATGAAGGTGTACATTCTGGGCGATGCAGATATTCATTCTCAATGAAAAAAATCTATGTTGGTGTAGTTTTCTTAAAGGATATTTCACTCCCACGAGAGTTTTTTATAGTGAAAATAGGTCCATATTTCAGTTTCATAGAACTATGGTGATTGAAGTATACTAGTATTGGTAAAAAAATGTAATTTTTCTAATTTTGACATGTAATGTGACACTTTTCAAAACTGACGGAAGTTTTGAAACGTCTTACTTTACGTAACCAGTTGCGTAAAGTAAAATTTTACATAACTGGTGATGTAATGTTCATTTCATTCATTCATTTCACACAACAAGAGTCGGCAGAACTCATGTAAAACTGGTAATTATTTTTGTTCATGCGAAATGTTTCGTCAAAATTAGAAAAAATATTGTACGTGAAACGTTAGGAAACGCCATTTTGTGTAACTCTGTGATGTTGCGGGATCTCGCTTCGCTCGTCCCGCAAAATCCCATCGTTACACAAAACAACGCGTTTCCTAACTGATTACGTAAATATTTAATACACCTTGGTAGTGAAGAATAATGTTACCATGAGACCTGAAGCCTCGGGATAAAATCTTGGACCCTGGGTAATACTGATATTATTTACTACCTTGTTGTATAAATAACTATTATTTTATTGATTAGTGAATGTAATGTAAATGATTTGAGATGTTTCATACAGACATTTGATAATTCTTTGAGTCGATAGGAGTTTTAAATCACAGATGATATTTAATTTAATTTGGACTATACTGTATCAACCAACTTTTTGTTTTTCACCTGCATATTGTCACCATCTAAACTGGGCGTCAATTGAAACGTTAATAGTGAAATTTGGCATCAAGTTGGACTTCTCGTAATTTCTGAAATATTGAACAAATTTTGAATTGCCGCCCAGATTCTGAATGCCTTTTTCATCTTCTTTCGAACCGTTCCTTACAGCTTCTTCTGAATTCATCAGGACCCGTGATACAGGGTGAAACAAAGTTTCGTGCATTTTGAAAAAAATTTCTCCGCCTCCCCATTTTGTCGGAAGAACACAATGCTCATATTCTATTCAGGCATTTCGTAAATAGCAACCATACCTCGGGACGTTTTCGAGTTTTTGCCAAAAACTACTGTGGTTTCCGAAAAAAAAATTTTGTTTGCATTTTTTTTAAATGGACTAATTAGGGTACATTACTACCTGTATCCTCAAAACGATGAATCAGTCTATTTATTGTCATGACTGACTTATTGAAAATAGTACTTAAATGAGTTTGGGTATATCCTAATCGTTGTAATCTGAAATAATAATTATCTGTACTGAATTATAGTTTATATCACTATAGTGATATCACCTAATGATATTTTCAATTTCGACCCGATTTGAACGAGGCATCTTTAAATTTTTTAGGACCCGAATAAAACTGACGTTTTCATGAAAATTGGCAATTGATATAACCTCTATGCATACCTACATTGTTTCAACAATACGTTGTTATAGAAACAAGGTATCGTTGTTTGTTTTTGTTGATGAGATGTGTTGATTTACTGCTCACTAAGTTAGACAACTTTTATCATAGACTGCGAAGTAATAAATTAATGATTGTTTTTGAGTAACCTGGTATACATATCTGCTCCAACGCTTGCTTGAAATGCATAAGAGCATCCATTCATGGAACTCCTCTAAAATTAGTCCATTTAAAAAAATTTTTTTTCTGAAACCACAGTAGTTTTTGGCAAAACTCGAAAGCGTCCCGAGGTATGGTTACTATTTATGAAATTTCCGGATAAAATATGAGCATCGTGATCCTCCGACAAAATGGGGGGGCTTAGAAATATTTTTCAAAATGCACGAAACTTTGTTTCACCCTGTATCACGGGTCCTGATCAATTCCGAAGAAGTTGTAAAGAACGGTTCGAAAGACGATGAAAAAGGCATTCAGAATCTGGGCGGCAATTCAAAATTTGTTCAATATTTTAGAAATTACGAGAAGTCAAACTTGATGCCAAATTTCACTATTAACGTTTCAATTGACGCCCAGTTTAGTTGGAACCTGCACGATTAAAAATCTTATGTGGACCAACTCTGTACACATCATACCGCAGCTCTGTATACAACCTATGAGTATCTTCCTTGCTAACCCAGATATGCCTACATAAAATGATTATGGATATGTCAAAAATATTCACAGACTTGCTTCATAAGTGAGCTCAACAGCAGGTTTGAATTAAGGTTATTTCAGATAATGGATTACATGTTGTAAGACTTGTTTCATTATATTATCTTGACTCCTAAATCATTTTGAATTCATTAGTTCTCAATAGTTTTTAAATCGCCGAGTAGTATTTTCCAATAGCATCCAGAACTGTTTTATTCTCAGTTGTTTACGTCCAACCATTCAAGAAGTTGAAAGAGGAAGTGGTTGTGGTAATTTAGGTCCTCCCTGTCTACAACCTTACCTTATTTAGAAAGTTCGTGAAAAATTTCTAAAACCGATTCTATTTTTAGTGTGTCCAGCACGTTAACTAAGTACGTAAAATTTCACTTAAAGCTAGAAGAAGAGTAATTAAGCAATACTGTCTGTAGTATACGAGCCCACCACCAAAGCTATTAAGGCACATTTCAGTGGTCTCCCCTCAAGAGTTCCATGAGGAGGTTGAAGCTAGGTCCGTCTCCGTCTTTCGATTTTATTGTCAACATTTCCTTTCCCACCTGAAAAAAAAATAAGGATGAATGTTTATCAGATAGGAAGAAAGAGAGAACGAAAAATCTTTATTAACTCTAACAAGGACGAAAAGAAGGGTATAGAGCATGTCATACAATAATATTAATTTTTTTTATGTTCTGGTTCCCACGAAAAGGGATATCCTGTAATGTTCAGAGAACATCGTGAGAACCAAGGGAAATAACGTAGGAATTGGTGTTCTACTTGAATTTCTGGAGGTTATATGCCTCGGGGAACACCTCCCTAGGCAATATGTTTCAGAGCCTCGCTGTGGAAACAGATGTTCTGCAAGTTTCCAAAGTGACCACGAAGGGGTGCGAAGCCTCAACTCGACGGGTTGATCTCGTGGGGACTGCCAAGAGAGGAACAATTGTTGATATTTCAGAAGAGAATCGTCCTCGAAAATATCTATAAAATAGAGCCAGATCGCCAACTTTTCTACGGTGTTTCAGAGAAGTGAGTGAGTTTGTGAGCGAGGCATCACCCACGAGACGAATTGCCCTTTTTTGGACAGAATCCAGCGGTTTCAGGGTATGTTTGGGTGCTACACTCCAAATATGGAAACAGTATTCCAGGACAGGTCGGATTTGTGCCTTATAGATCATAAGCAGCTGACTGGAAGTGAAATAGCTCCTGGCCTGAAACAGAAAACCAACTTTTTGGGATGCACTTTTAGCAATTGATCTCACGTGATTTTCCCAAGAAAGGTTATTGCTGGTTGTAATGCCAAGCATCGAATTGGTATATATCAAAGGTATAGTTACTCCTGACAAGCTTATGTTCGGCACAGTGAGATCGGCTTTCCTAGAGAAAATGCATGCTTGTGTTTTGTTTGCATTGAAATCCAAGCTATTGGATCCCCATTCGAGAATTATTGTTGCCAAGTCCATATTTATGTTGTCAACATTTCTCCCTCGTTCGTTTCTGATTTGCCTGGCTGGTATTGGAACCCTGGAAGAGAAGGCGGTATGGAGGGTACTGGACATGAAGTTGCTTCCAACAAATCGTTGATATGGAGTAGAAATAGTGTTGGTGCTAGAATTGATCCTTGCGGAACATCAGCAGTTATGATAAGAGAGTCAGATGAAACTCCGTCGACCACTACATGGAGAGACCTGTTTGAGAGAAAACTAGCTAGCAGAGAACATAGCTGGGGAGGCAAGCCATAAGATGGAAGTTTGGCGAGGAGTCCGTGGTGCCAGACTCGATCGAATGCCTTGGAGATATCAAGTGTCACGGCTAAGGTTTCACCATATTTTTCAATAGATTGCTGCCATATATGTGAGACGTAAGCGAGCAAGTCACCAGTTGATCTCTGATGACGGAAGCCATATTGCCTATCGTTGATAATACCTGAATGTTCCAGGTATTCCATGAGCTCGATGTTGATAGCTTTCTCCACGACCTTTGAAATAATAGATAGCAGTGCGATCGGTCTGTAGGTAGGGTCTTTTTGCCTTTTTTAGGAAACTGGCTCTTGCATTTTTTTAGTTGGACGGGAATATCCACAATTTGTAAGAGTAGTTCAACAGCTTGCAGAGAGAACAGATGTTAGTTCGGAAGCACATTTCTCGAGAACAATCGGTGGGATTCCGTAGGAGCCACAAGCCTTGTTGGTGTTGAGACCCAATAAAATCTTCCTTATAGTACGTTGGCGAAAGGTACGTGATCTCGGTAAAAAGAGTTGAAACACTATGACAAGCAGTGACAGAAGGTATAACCCCTAATTCTCAAAATGACTTTGAATGTTTGCTTGAACAAAGACATGGATATGCTTTTCCATGCACTTCGGATCTTCTTTCCTCTACTGCTGCGGTGAAGGGTACATCCATATATATTTCTCTGTCTTTCTTTTCATGAAGAAGTAGCATCTTATCTCAATGACCAAAAGGGGTCATAGTTTGTAACTCGATTTATTGATAGGATATCTCGATATACTCAACAAAGGGTATATGTCGAGTCAATTTATTTAATTTCAGGATGCACTAGTTTTTCAATAGAAGAGTCAGGATTTAGTATCCAGTTCTGCTGAGCGAAATCTAAATGAATGGGAAGAACAATTCAACCAATTAACAAACTTATATTAGCTCTCATACAATACTTTTTAGTGCATGATCGATCAGAAAATTCGACAATACAAGGATAATGATTATAGTTCAAGAATAGGATCCTATATTCTAAATATGAAATTTCAAATAATGGTAGGCACCTACAGTTTTTGCTTAATTATAAAAAAGCATTACAACAAAACTTAGTCTCCAAATTTGAACTGAATGGCATTAACATCTCAATAAATCATCCCGTGAAACAGTGGCGTGATGTTTTGAAAATGGAGTTAAAATACCAATATTCCAGTACATACTGCACACCTGTACAATATCAGGCTTGAATTCGTCGCAAAATACGAACAATTCCGGATGCAATCGTTCAACCCGTTGCGTTCGAGAATGATGTCGACAAACGTCATGATGAAAATTGCTACTCTATATTCTACTCTGAAAGAGGATAGCAAGTTAAGTTCAGGTCATTGCTTATTCTATTTACACGCGGAGACATGTTATACAGACATAAATACGCTGATGAATTTTCCTCTTACCTGGCAAGTTCTTTGCAGCTCAGGAATTCGTAATAGCAATTCACCGAATTTGGAAGGACTTTCAGGATAGTGGGACAATGTGTAATCCTGCAGGGCCTTCAATGCTTTCTCCTGCGACATCCTGACTTTCTCTGCTTCTTTGAGTTCAGATGTGTCTGTTGAAAAACAAGATCTGTTTGAACAGCTATTGGGTTCTGAATGGTTTCAACTTATTGAGTAAGTATTGAGAAACCTAGAATTTCAAGCCTAAGAGATTTTATAGGAATATTGTGAATTGATTGTCAGCTGATGTGAGACAGACTTATTTGGGTTGCCAAGTCTCAAAACTATGTTCAAATTTTGATGTTACGGAATTCAACTGCTTGGATTTTTGATATATCTACTTGAAATGCTTAATTTATGTTTATGATTTGAGGTAAAAATTCTGTAGAATTGTCAATTTGGCAACGTTCCATAGCGGTCCTTAGAATGTGATGTCTTTTCCACCGTAGGAAACGTGAGATCAATCTCCTTATAGACTTCTTCAGAATTTTTTGTGTTCGAACACAATCACATATCCGACGACTATACATACAGCGTTGATTCTTCGGAGAAGAACTCCAACTATCAATTTCATTCAATTAATCGTCGAAAAAATGCTTCATTCTGAATGAATATTCATAACACGATTATCAAAGCTCTGAATTCGAAATTTCCGAAAACGTTTCGAGAGAAAGCATCAATCAGGAGGATACAGTAAGAAAATAAGAAAAATCATCTGTTCAAACAGTAAGGTGACGACCATGATGCAATTTTACACCCATTTCATCATCACCCTGTAGCAATGTTATCTGAAATTACAGAAGTTTCATATTGCCACAACAAACTGTCAAGAGATTAGGCTAATCATCGGTGAAAACCGATTTCAAATTGGTAAGGAAATTCGGGAGTTATTCTACTTTGAATTCAGGTTATATTTTGGACCATGACGTTTTCAGTGTTGACTAGTTTCGTTAGGATTATTACTTCAAAATAATGAAACCACCAATTGAGGGCCAGGTAGCCGTGCGGACAGAGTGTCAATATTCTAATCCGCATTCGCTTGCCGGCCGTGGGTTCGATTCCCATCGACTGCAGAAATTTTTCTGATGGCCCAAGAAAGTGTTTGGGATCACACGTTAAAAGGTAAGGACCCCGTCATTCCTTGCTCGCACAAGACTCTCGAAGACTTCTGAGGGTTGCTCGTAAGGGGGCAACCGAATGACGGACCGAACAATTTTAGAACAACAATTTTTTTTTGGAAAAGTTTTCACTGAGAAAGACCCATTACATCAACTTACCAGATGTGAGAAGCACAATGACTTTCATGGCAATGTACTCATACTGGTCCACCCTCAGCCTCCTTAGTTGCTCAGTGAAATTCAGCATCCTCTCTATGCAGGGCTGCATCCCCATTTCCCTCGCCTGCTGCAGATTGATGCACTTGCCCAGCGACACCCTTATCTCTCCGGGGGTGGACATCGATCGGAAGCAGCACGAGAACAGGAGCAGTTCGCACCAAGAGTTGATGAGAAGGCAAATCTGATCGTCGATCTGTAAATGGAACACAACGAATGTGACAGTGGCGAAAACACAAACATTTAGGTTTTTAGGCATAATGGACTTTGTATTTAATTCCGTTTTCAGAATTTATGTGCAATATTATCATAACTCATGATATTCAAAATTTAATCTTATTCGCGAGATTCACGAAGTGGGCGACAAAGTGGGGGAAAACAAACTGTTGTCTATGGATAAAGTACATAGACCACATTGCATTCAGCCTGCTGTAGCTGTAGTCAAACTTGTCAATAACATAAAGTGTTGGCACTGTTGGTAGTGATGATGGTTGAGTTGGTTAATTTTTTTTACATTATTAAATTTTTATTAGTTTAGTGAACAGTGAACGGGTGAAGAATTGGAGATAGTTCAAACAATTCGAACTAATTATGACGAGCAAATCAATTGACATGTAAAAGAACAGCTACAACATGTTTACAATACCCAGATTGTCCTGCTTTGCATGAACAAATACAAATCCATTGTTCTACAGGAGTTCCTCTGGACCCCAACTTTAATTTTACTTCATGTGAGGAAGATTTCATCGCCGAAGTTTGTAGACAAAGTGCAAAAATGTGCCTTTTGTTGAAGTCTTCTGCCTCACACAAAATCACATGATTAGCACGGAGAACTGCTTCTCCTTCCACTACTAGTCGGCTTTTTCCATCTAAATAGAGCATAATATCTGCCAAAACAACATCTACAACAGGCATTATTAGCGTTTTCGATCGAATATTGACAATTAATGTCAAGAAATTCGAAAACTTATCACTCTTATCAGTACATAGTACACAAGCTAATGGCACTAATGGGATTGAGTGAGGATTGAGTTTGTTTTCCCTCAGTTTTGACGTGGCTTTGACATGGAACAATGAAAACCGAGCGCCACCTGGTAACATTGATTCCCGCGAATATTGTACATGTCATTTGGTTTGTATCATATGTCACTGTCATTTGTCTTGTTATTCTGTCAACGTCTGTTGCTATGCTTGACACTTCGTCGTCTTCTACTTGGCTTTTCTCGTTCACAAAAATGGCCATTTTAAGATGAAACTCCTCTGAGTGAATTATTTTTTATTTTTTTTATCGCTTGGAGCGCACGAAAGGGAATCCCTATAATGTTCAAAGAACATCGTGCGTTCCTAGGAAGGATAGGGACAGGAGGTAGGTATTGGAATTTTTTTTGAACTTTTGGAGATTATATGTTGTTGGGAATACTTCCACAGGCAATGAATTCCCGACCCTAGCCGTTCTATGATTGTTGGGTTATTTTGGCTTTTCAGTCGGTTCAAAAATTGTAATAGTTCTTCACCGGATTGAATTTTTGGCCAAATGACCCCTGCTTCTTAACATTTCAATTTTATTAATTATATGATCTCCGCGTGGCCTTTTAGGTATGTTTTTCCTCAATATCTTATATTATCCTTGTAAACCAATATCTTTACAGGTTCTGTATATTATGTCTGCAGATGGCTGTTTGAGCCGAAACGATCACACAAAAAAGTAAAATTCTTTGTAATTAAACTTTGTGGTCGACCGACTTAGTGTTTTTTTTTTGCTTAATGAAATAGTTTGGATAATAATTTTCCAGGCCTAACCTAAAAAAAAACAGAGGCGGTTTTCGACAAAGATATTTGCTCTGATTCCTGTGATTATCCAGCATAAAGATAGCAACCAGTATTCCATGCTAAACATAGTGTTTTTTTTTTTAATCTGGACCACTTTGAGAAGGATGGATGGTTTCCATGACTTAAAAACACAATAATTGGTTTCACTCGGAAGGGAGGCCTTCTAGAACCAGAATAATCCTCGATAGTCATAAGTTCAAATGGTCTGCACAAGTTGAATACTTAGGTGTGTGCATCGATAGAAAGCTTACCTGGGCACAGCACATTGAACAGAAAGTTTTACAAGCCAAACGAGCCATTGGAGCCTTGTATCCATTTCAAAACAGACGAAGTAGAAGTAAATTGGGATTGAGACAAAAATTGGCTATCAGGCCAATGTTACTGTATGCCTCATTAGTCGGGCGCCATACGGCCAAATCTCATATGACGGGAATTCAAACATTGCAAAAAAATCGCGAGAATAGGGACACGATCTCCCTGATATTTTAGCAAAAGTGGCTCCTCATTTGCACCAGACCTTTACTAACCAACAACCTCTTCACCTGTCGCAACTCATATGGTTTTGGTAGATTATTTGGCAAACGGCGTGTCCACCACATGTCGCAACTCAGATGTTGCCCTCCTATGGATCGCAACTTGGCTACTCGCTTGGCTTGATGAGAGGATTTTGATCATTTCACCACCCAACCATATTCATCCCCAAATGAAGAGTCAAGATAGTTTTCGTATATAATTAACATTTATTGATTTAATGGGAAAGTCGTGAATAAATGCTTGCCACATGGCAAAGTAGCAGAGACAAACCATAGTAATTACCAAACGGAACACAACACAGAAAAAACAAATCAGATAGAACATGGAAAACAGTACTTACATCATGACATCTAACATGGGGTTGACCAGCAGGATCAAAGTCGGGAAGACGGTACACATTTTGGCAGTAACTCGTGAATAAGTAACTCAATTACGGAATAAAGTAAAGTGTTATCGAAATGCATTATAATTAGTAATGAATAATCAATAATAGTGAATGATCAGTAATTGAGAAATGGATGATCAATAATAATCGAAAATCAGTAATGAATGGCTTATCGATTCGGAATCTATTTATATTTGGAATCGATGCTAACATTGCAATTTTCCGCAATGGCAATGCTCGATACCGGGCGTATAGCTTGGCCCGCATCGCAAGCTAAGCGGTTTCATGCAAATTTTACCGGAACTAGAGTCTATGAACTCCGCTTCGACCTGATCGAAACGCTGTACAAGATGTTTTAATTTGGAAAAGTTAATTTATGAATGAAGATCTAGAAATGAACGAAAGTTATTTCATAGACATTTGTACTTCTTGACAGTATGTTTGGCTGCATAAAAACATATGATCGAATTTGTATCGCGCAATATGTTCTCACTTACCTCGTCGCTGGTTTCTCCAGTATGTTTGTACCCTGAGAAAATGAACGCGACCGACAACAATGTTTCTCGGGAGTATTGAGGGCAATCAATATTTCAATCATCAACACTTCAGGTGATCAAATAACAATAGGAAAAGGACAGCAGCATAGTAAAATTTCTCACAGAGATATTCTTGAACAACAGCAGACTGTTTCACCACTTGACGATCTTGTAGAGCCTATGGTCAGCAATGTCGCAGAGGTTGGCGACGAAGTCAGGATTCGTGTAGGCGGTGCCGGCCAACAAGACTCAACTCGACATCAAAAACTCCAGTATTTTCGAACCAGAGTTGAATATAAAGAATCTTACAAATGTCTAATGCAAATGAGTAAAGTCTACTTCAAAGAACGTATTCAAACGCACACCAAGTACCCAAATATTAATTTCGTTACTTCGCTATCATCGACGCTTTTGTCGTCTACCACAGCTCCAACATATTCACGGCCTGAGAAAAGCACAGTGACATATAAAACATGCTCACGGAGATATTCTTGAACAACCACAGACCCTTGCACCACTTGACGATCTTGTAGAGCCTATGATTAGCTATGTTGCAGAGGTTGGTGACGAAGTCAACAAGACTCAACTTGACGTCAAAAACTCCAGTATTTTCGAAGCAGAGTTGAATATACAGAATCTTACAAATGTCTAATGCAAATGAGTAAAGTCTACTTCACAGAGTGCGTGTTCAAACGCGCCCCAAGTACCCAAATATTCATTTCGTTGCTTCGCTACTATCGACACTTATGTCGTCTACCACAGCTCCAACATGTTCACGGCCTGAGACAAGGACGGTGACCTTGTAATGAAGTGTTTTTGAGCCACCTTCATTACTAGACTGGTTTTGATTAATATCTAAGTACCCGAGACTGATTCTTGTTGAATTTCAATTTTTCGAAAGCCCGAAACCCAAAAACCTGAGAGCTGAGCATTTCATTGATTCCTGACTTTCCAAAGTTTTTCCTGATAGTAAACTCCGATAAACATCATTACAACCCTAATGACTTCAATATTTTTCAACCCCTCTGCTTATGATATGAAATTTGGATGAATTATTCACTTGCTCAAATGATGGATGTCATTTTTTGTTATTGGATATTTCCCAGTCAAATTCATTCAGTAGCATTAGCAAGGGTAGTAGGTTCTGTTCCTGTGCCCATTTAGGATTAAATATAATTTTTTTCGCATTTTTGTGGGTTTAAGAACATATATTATGCTTTTGGGTGCTAGTTCCTGCAGGAATAGTTGAGGATTCCGACCAATAGATTGGGTTAACTCGAATCGTATGTACTGATATCGGTAAACAAAATTGTGTTTGAATCCATTCGAAATTAATCTTGATTGTTCAGTAGTATACATTTGAGTTGATTTTTAAATTTGCTTAAGGAATGTGAATACAAATGTGTCGTGCTACAATATTTGTTGGATTCATTACACATAGAGTATATTGGTGAATTGGCCGATACATTAGTTCTAGGTGTATTGAGGTAAAAACATATCTGATTTCTAGCATTATGTCTTGGTACATGAAAATTCAGTTGGGATAATAATTCAGGACAATCAATCAGGTTATTGACTAGTTTGTACAAAAAAATGCATGAGTAATATGTTCTACGGCTTTCTAGAGATAAGAAATTGAAACGTTTCAGTAGAGCATAGTTGTCAAAGCCTTGATTAGGATATTCTCCATCTAGTTTCCATGACATATACTTCATAATACTTCTTTGGACCGACTCTATCTGTTGAATATGTGTGTTGTAGTATGGTGACCAGATTAAAGAACCATATTCAAGTTTTGACCTAACATAAGCCACATATAGTGCTTTGAAGCATTATTTGATGTTAGTGAAATCTTTACAGCTCCTGTATATGAATCCTAGCATTTTTTTGGCAGATGCTGATGTTTTGTTAATATGATACGAAAAATTAAGTTTGTCGTTAAAGTAAACTCCTAGATCCCTTATGTTGTCCTCCTGCTGGAGGGGAATATTGTTTATGGTGTAATCGAAGTAAATAATATTATTTTTTAGCGTAATTGTTATATATTTACATTTTTGTACATTCAGTGGTAATTTGTTTGTCTCACACCATTCATTCAGTCTATTCAAGTCCTGTTGAAGTAGTTCACAATCATTTGAGGTTTTGATTGATCTATAGATTTTCATATCGTCTGCAAATAAAAGCATATTGCTACTAATGACATCGCAAATATCATTTATGAATAGTGAGAAGAATAAGGGTGCCAGGTTACTTCCCTGAGGAGCTCCGCTTGAGACTTTGAATTCATATGATCGGTGGCCTCTGTATTCAACGTATTGTATACGATTTGTAAGGTAGGATTTGATGAAGATCAATAAGTTTGTGTCAAATCCAAAGTAATCTAGTTTCTCGAGAAACAGGAGATGATCAAGTTTGTCAAACGATTTCGAGAAATCTTATACCGATACTCAACCGACCTGTGTTACGAATCCAGAAATGTTGTCTTTGCGAATAAAAGGTTTAATTCGTTTGAAACTGTGTTTCCGATTTTCCAGGTAAACTTAATGAAATAGTTTGAATAAATAATTTTCCAGGCCTAACCTAAAAAAAACATAGACGGTTTTCGACAAAGATATTTGCTTTGATCCCTGTAATTATCCAGCATAAAGATAGCGACCAGTACTCCAAGCTGAACCTAGGGTTTGTAATAAAAGCCTACATTCCCGTGCCTTCTTGATTCCAGGTCGATTCAATAACATTGACCCCTGGTTTATACTATAGGTACCGAGGTATGTATACCTCCTGTACCTGTCTCCACTGTTGTTACCTAGGCCTCATAATAACCTGAGATTATAAAAGCAGGTGGAGTAAACCACCTCATAAATAATCTGGCGCCCGAGACCCCCGACAGGTTCCAGAAGTCCTGGAAATTAAGGCCTTTACACCATATAAATAATGCTCACCGAGATATTCTTGAACAACGGCAGACTCTTGCACCATTTGACGATCTTGTAGAGCCTATGATCGGCGATGTTGCAGAGGTTGGCGACGAAGTCCGGATTCGTGTCGGCGGTGCCGGCCAAGGCCGTTCCGGCCAGCAGTGGGTGGGTGGACAGGTTGTGCACCGCCCCGCTGGAGCCCTCCTTGCCCAGATGACCGTCCGTGCTCAGCTTGTGCAGCTCGGTCGCGTTGTAGTGCCACAGGTGTTCCACGTCCATTATTTCCTGTCGACCGATCAGTGATCAAGAGGCTATTTGATAAGAGTGCTTGATGTTTATACCAGAACAAGAACAACAAGGAACAAGAGCAAATGTGGAATGCACAAAGATTTGAACACCAGATATGAAACAAGATCGAATATTTGAAGTTTTATTTCCACCTCGTATAGTTGAAGCTGTAGGTAGGGGTCAAAATAAACGGAGACGTCTGACTGAAGAAATTATATATTTGATAAGCTACCAGATACTCTTAGTTAGCGAATTGGAAGGAATTGGTGGAGTCTTTCTCCACTGAGTGTACCGGGTGAACAACTGAGATCGGCTGTCATATCTATCATTCTTCCAACTTTGATAATTAATTTCTTCCGTTGGCGAAAAGCTATCATGTTGTGGTTTTCATTGGTCTGTTGAGATTTAGTTTCTCTATTACATCGTGTAATGATATGCATACCATTAGATTTATTCTATCTCAAACTTGTATCATTATTCGTTGCTGAGATATGGCCTACAGCCTTTCTTAGTTGTTCACCCGGGTATATTTAGCTCTGTCTAACACATGCGAGTAAGAAGGAAACATATACAATGAGTGCAGAAACACTTCACCAGTTCCTGTCAATGAATTTCCATATCTAGATCATTAGAAAACCAGAATATAAACTGGGCGTCAATTGAAACGTTAATAGTGAAATTTGGCATCAAGTTTGACTTCTCGTAATTTCTAAAATATTGAACGAATTTTGAATTGCCGCCCAGATTCTGAATGCCTTTTTCATCGTCTTTCGAACCGTTCCTTACAACTTCTTCTGAATTGATCAGGACCCGTGATACAGGGTGAAACAAAGTTTCGTGCATTTTGAAAAGAATTTCTCCGCCCCCCCCATTTTGTCGGAAGACCACGATGCTCATATTTTATTCAGGCATTTCATAAATAGCAACCATACCTCGCGACGTTTTCGAGTTTTTGCCAAAAACTACTGTGGTTTCCGAAAAAATTTTTTTTTTTGCATTTTTTCAAATGGCCTGATTACTTGTATCCTCAAAACGATGAATCAGTCTATTTATTGTCATGACTGACTTATTGAAAATGGTACTTAAATGAGTTTGGTTATATCCTAATCGTCGTAACGTGAAATAATAATTATCTGTACTGAATTATAGTTTATATCACTATAATGATCTTACCTAATGATATTTTCCATTTCGACCCGATTTGAACGAGGCATCATTAAATTTTTTAGGACCCGAATTACACTGACGTTTTCATGAAAATTGGCAATTGATATAACCTCTATGCATACCTACATTGTTTCAACAATACATTGTTATAGAAACAAGGTATCGTTGTTTGTTTTTGTTGATGAGATGTGTTGATTTACTGCTCACTAAGGTAGACAACTTTTATCATAGACTGCGAAGTAATAAATTATTGATTGTTTTTGAGTAACCTGGTATACATATGCATAAAAGCATCCATTTATGGAACTCCTCTAAAATTAGTCCATTTAAAAAAATACAAAAAAAAATTTTTTTTCGGAAACCACAGTAGTTTTTGGCAAAAACTCGAAAACGTTCCGAGGTATGGTTGCTATTTCTGAAATGCCCGAATAAAATATGAGCATCGTGGTCTTCCGACAAAATGGGGGGGCGGAGAAATTGTTTTCAAAATGCACGAAACTTTGTTTCACCCTGTATCACGGGTCCTGATCAATTTAGAAAAAGCTGTAAGGAACGGTTCGAAAGACGATGAAAAAGGCATTCAGAATCTGGGCGGCAATTCAAAATTGGTTCAATATTTTAGAAATTACGAGAAGTCAAACTTGATGCCAAATTTCACTATTAACGTTTCAATTGACGCCCAGTTTATTCAATACAAGAGTGAAAACGCCATTGGGATCTCGGAAACTATAGGAGATATGGGGATGATTAGATTAGAGCAATTGCGCAATTTCGACCGTTACTTTATTTGTGATAGAGAAAAAGTTTCGTATCAGGAACCATCATCCAGTGGTAAAAACTAATGGAAAATATCATGGCCGGTTCTCAGGATATGACGATAAAAAAATCTGATTGATTTCTCCACGATCTCAACAACGATCGTGGACACGTGACACGAACCGACCAGCATCTCACCTGCAATAACGGCGGGACGCCCTTCGAGCCGGGATACACGGCCCGCTTGTGGTGCGCCGCGGCGGGATCGGCGGGCTCCAGTTTCACCGTGAGGCCCGCGTGACCTTCGCCCGGCCCATGGGCGCCAAGTCGCATCTCCGCGTGGCCAGTCAGGGAGGGCGGCAGCGAGTACGAGCACTGGTAGGTCGAGCGTCCGCCCCTCGTCCTGTCCTCTCTGATCGCTGAAATTCGATTACAAATTCATACATACACACACCCCACGCCCCCCGAAGGGTTGGATCGTTCCCACCGATACAACAAGGCCAGCAGACTCTGACGTAAACAGCTCGTGACGTCGCCAAGATAGGCCAGTGTTTTATTTTATCGCTTGTCGACTAACGCGTCAGTTCGTGTTAATTCATCGGTGATTCACGTATGTTTTTGAAACGGTCCCGAATTCTTTTGTTGTTTATTCATCAAAATAATTGGCGGAAAAATTACTGTTTTGTGAAATATTTTGTGTTGTGATCGGCGGAATAACAATGCCTTTCAAGTGTTGTGTTCCCTTTTGTCGGGGTAATTATGTGGGTGGTTCAAAAGTTCATGCTTTTAGTTTCCCGTTGGACGAGGAGCTATCGAAAATGTGGGTAAGTATATGCAATTCACCGCGAGGATTTTACTCCATCCAAATATCTAAGTTCAGTAGTAAACAGAGCTTAATTTATAATGATGAATTAATAATAGAAGACAATTACTCTCTCATAAAAAGTATAAGTAGAGGACAAATAGAAAAGCTTTGATTGTGCAGTTAGTTTTGTATTCGTATATTATAGTCAACAAAATCATCTCTGAATTCGAGGTAATTTTCTTGAATGTTCATAATAAACGGGCATTTTTAATTCTCATTTTCAAATTTCTTTCTGAAAACGGTCATTTGCCTCGTGGCAATGAATGCAGAATTCATTCCAATGATCAAATTGCAACTATCATATTAACATGAACTACAAACACTCTACTTAAAAAGGTAAAACTGCATTTATCATGATATTTATCATGAAGATATTTGACTAAAAAGTTCCAAATTTCACCTTCTTTTTCACCTGTCTTCTGGATGGCATTTAGAACACATTTCCCTTCTTTTTTCATCATATTGGACAATATATAATTCAACTATGAATATGATTTTCTTGAGATTAATCCATATTTAGTGAAAAGAAGGAAGAATATCATTCAAAATAATGGCGTGTGTGATGTCATTCCAAAGCAATCTATTGACATTTTACATCTCGTATTTTGATTGACTATTGATTAAATGGTCGTCATCTGGAATGCTTGTCCACTAAATATGAAAAACTCGCCATAAAAATCATATTTCCTGTTGAATTTTCTATATAAAAATGTGCCATCGAAGTACATCATGAGTATATAAAGTGTCCAATGACAAAATAAGAGCAAGTGGCTTCAAATGCCCCCATACAAGGGGGGAAATAAGGCGAAATTTCGAACGTTTTCTTGAAATATCTCAATAAATAGTGGTTTGTTCACATTTTTATTATAAAATTCGGTTTATCAGACAAAAATACGTGAGGACCGAAAAAAATTTTCAAAAAAAAACCATCGCATGATAAATGCAGTTTTGCCCTTAAAAATTACGGTTTCAAGTGTAACGATCCACTTGGGTGAAAAATCTAACAGCAGAAAATTGAAAACACTCACTGGTTATTTTTCAGGTAATAGGAATTCTCCAAGATAAATATAGGTAATTGTAACAAACGGCATGTCAATCAAAATAGAATACATTTTCCACAATTTTCTCGATCAATCTCACGATAAGTTTATGTTCTGCGGGCCCTGTATAAGTAGGTGTGAAGTTTACCCTCACCACAATTTTTGCCAATATATTCAATTCGAATGGGTTGCTGTAGGTGGATATTTGTGTTTTATCCTGGTTTTTGCTTTAAAACTTCGTTTTTCCATAATAAAATCGAAGTCCATCCACCCCCACCCACTAACGAGTGGACTTCAACATTATGCATTTGGCAATCTGGCTCTATTTTACAGATATTTTCATGGACGATGCTCTTCTGAAATATCAGCAATTGTACCTCCCTTGGCAGTCCCGCGAAATTTCATTTTTTGACACCTGGCCACAGTCATTCACGTCATTCCTTGTAGTGAGACGGAATGAAAAGTAGCAACCGGAATTGGAAGTTTTTTTTTCTTGTTCCCACGAAAAGGAATATCCTGTAATGTTCAGATAACATCGTGACCACCAAGGGAAATAAGGTAAGAATTAGTGTTCTTCTTAAATTTCTGGAGATTATCTGCCTCGGGAAACACCTCCCTTGGCAATGTGCAATATGCAGAGCCTCGCTGTTTGTTGGATGAACGAGTCTTCGGAAAGAGATGTTCTGCAGATATCCAAAGTGACCACGAAGGGGTGCGAAGCCTCAACTCGACGGGTTAATCTCGCGGAGACTGCCAAGGGAGGAACAATGGGCGTGTACACCTTAGTAGAACTTTTAACTCAAACCATGTTTATAATGATCCTTTTATACATAAATAATGATTGATGATGAATGATTCGATCGAAAAATCAACTGGAATGTTCTATTTTTGAACATAAATAATAGTGCCTTCTGAAAACGGACCCTCTTATGACGTAGAAACCTCATCTCGCCTTGAACCAATGAGCGTGACCCATGTGTGACACTTATCACTGTTGCCATATCATCCAAACAAAATATCCGAGAGATCGAAATCGATATTGAAATATCTTTCGATATCCACTACCACTACTGCAGAAGAATATATTATTCAAGTTGTCGACTGTAGGTTGAATAAGTGGAATATAAACAATCTCTTGACAACGTAATGTCTCAATCTCAAACCATTTGCACCATGACAATTTCACAATAATCCAATACATTTAATAAACGCAGCAACATTGCTTTGTTGACTCGTTTTACATGGAGCTGCATTTGCATCGAGTCTCGAATTCCGATTCCGAACTATTCCGAAGTTATTTATTTCGTTTAAAATGAGAAGAGAAGACACGAAATGAAATTAACCTCCAAATCTTGCTTTATATCATATTGATATATTGAATATAAACATGAACGTTGAATCAAGATTTGTAAAAGGCTCTTCAGATAATCTCCCAAAAATTGATTTGGAAATGGTTAATGATTTTTATGTCCCTAACATACAGTTTCTCAGTGCTGAAGTGAGGAATAGAAAATCTGAAAGGTTTGTTACACAATATTCATTCAATTTTCATTGCTTGTACCTATTATAGTTGTATTGGAAAATTGTTCACCTGAAAGGATATTTAACATCAGAATACCCATCATATGGAGAATCCTCATTAAATCAGTCACTGATTGTTATGTTTACCTATGCAACAATATGATCAATTGGCATGAAACAATGTATGGTTATTCCCTAGACTAGATACTACTCGCATCTCCCTTTGAATGTTCTTCTAAGAGATGGATCATTCATTTTTCAAGCAATTTCCCAATGAATTTCTGCAAAGCAAAACAACTACAATATTGTGTTTACCCAGTGAGGGGGCCAGATTTGTTCCCAAAATTCCCAGCTAAATGATGTTTTTATGAGTGCAATTAGGCACAAAACATTTCTTAATCATACTTTTGTCGAAATATTTCAATTTAATATTCGAAAGTTTCGCGATTTGCAAAAAGTTAATATAGGTTAGAATTGATCTTCTTCTTGTTCTTATTATCTTTGTCTCAAAAATCAACTTGCAGATTCACCAATCTTGGTGCTTTGTCAGAAATCATGTATCATTCATCTCTGTCTGGAATAGTCTTGTTTCAGTATTAGGGTTTTGACGTCACATCATCGCCTCGTTTTCGGAGGTCCGAAAAATCGGGGATTTCAATAATTTTTTATAAAACGTAGCGAGCTTACAGCAAGAAACGGTTTGCGGTGGTGAGCTAGTTTGGGTGAGTTCTATCGAATTATGAAATAAAAATTTTTTGTGATATAAGCCCATTGTTGATATTTCAGAAGAGCATCGTCCATGAAAATATCTATAAAATAGAGCCAGATCGCCAACTTTTTCACGGTGTTCCAGAGAAGTGAGTGAGTTTGTGAGCGAGGCAAATTAAAGTGATTCCGGTGGCTGAATTGGATAAATAAAACGCAACTATGACTAGGTCAATAATCACCTTCCAGTTTCATTCCGCACTGCAGACACTTGTCGAACCGACAGGCCGGGCACTTTTTCCTCGTGGAGACAGTGACGGGACACTGGGCGCCTCGCAGGCACACGTAGTTCTTCCTGTTCTGCACCGTTCGCTTGAAGAAGCCCTTGCACGATTCGCAGCTGAAGATGCCGTAATGGAAGCCGGAGATTTTGTCGCCGCAAATAGGACAAGGACTGAAAAAAAATAAAATAGAAGAATGTAACATTTTAGATAGATGCTTTTTCATCTCATTCACTTGAAACATCAATACATTTTCTTATTGAAAAGGAATATTCTCAGATATATTTATGAACACAAAAAAATGGATATATACAGTCTGTCCAAGATAAGGTTGAACAGCATGGGAATCTCGGAAACAGTAGGAGATACGAAGTCATTTAAATGGGGAAAAAGTTGCGCATTCGGAGGCTCATATTAAGAGCCTTCGAAAATTTTCAAAATTATTTCTAGTTTTTGAGTTATATCGAAAAAAGTGAATTTTTGGAATATCTATGTTATTTTTTTTCTTCGTCATTATTAGAGATACAGAAAAACTGAAAATACTTTTTCGTAGCAACTTTTGATGACGTTTAACGTGGTAATACCGACTTTTTTATGCGACGTTTCGTATCCGTAGAATCATCATCAACTTTTGTTTTTTAAATACGGTCCTGATAATTTTTTCACAGATTCTGAAAGGTTTTTTTATTCTGAATTCAACCATGTATACAAGGTGATTCGAATGTGTTTCGACCTATTTCTATCCATCATCAATGTTTTTTCGAACTTCCAAAGGAAAAGTGCCATCAGTTCCACTTATTTCTGATCATTTAGTGTCAAACATTGATGGATTAGTTATTCAATACTGAGAAATGAATAACAAATATTTCACTACATCATTCAATGCAGCGCTTAAAATTGTTGATGAATTCTTACACGAATTACTTTAACAACTTAACTTTGACAATACCTACAGAGACATTCATAACAAATGTTCAAAATGATAACCATTATTTTCTGAACAAAGATATCCTCTTCTCACAGTTGCTTCTAAGACATTGCTAAGGATTTCTGGGGTTATTCTATTGAATGCTTCGAAGACACTGTCCCTTAGTTCTTCTTCATCATCAAAGTTATTTGCGTATACAAAGTTTGATATATCCCCTAAGAAAAAATACAGCTGTGTCAAATCAGGCGACCGCGCTAGCCAATGGACTGTAGAATGAGTACCAATCCATTTTTCTGGATAAAAACGCACGGACTTCTCTGGAATTATGTACGGAATCTTGTAGAAACCAACAGTTCTGAACTTCCGCAATCGGTAAATCATCCAGAGCTTCCACAAGATGATTCTCAAGCAAATTTCTATAACGTTCGGAAGTCTGTGTTTCATGGTAAATAAAAGGACCAATAATTCGTATATCAAACATTGCAACCCACATATTAAAGCCGAAACGGTGTTGGTGTCTCGCTGTAATGTATAAATGTTCATTTTCTCGTGAACAATAATGTGAATTTTTTCTATCGAAGATACCATGATTAGTGACCATGCTTTCATCAGTCCAGATGATTGTTCGAGGGAAATCTGCAAAATTTTGACATTTCCTGGTATACCACTCACAGAATGTCCTGCGCCTTTCGTCATCGCCTGGTTTTAGCGCTTGACATATTCTGAATTTGTATGGATGGAATTTTTGTTTCCGCAAAATGAAATAGGTTGTTGATTGAAACCAGTTGATGAGGTATTAGTGTGTTGACTAATTTGCCTTCAAAATAAGTGGAACTGATGGCGTTTTTCCTTTGGAATTTCGAAAAAACATTGATGATGGCTAAAAGTAGGTCGAAACACACATAAACCACCGTGTATAATACATGGTTGAATTCAGAATAAAAAAACCTTTCAGAATCTGTGAAAAAATTATCAGGACCGCATTTAAAAAACAAAAGTTGATGATGGTTCCACGAATACGAAACGTCGCATAAAAAAACGGTATCACTACGTTGAACGTCATCAAAAGTTGCTATGAAAAAGTATTCTCAGTTTGGCTGTATCTCTAATAATAACGGAGAAAAAAAATAAAATAGATATTCCAAAAATTAAATTTTTTCGATATAACTCAAAAACTAAAAATAATTTTCAAAATTTTCTAAGGCTCTTGATATGAGCCTCCGAATGCGCAACTTTTTCCCCATTTAACAGACTTCGTATTTTATACCGTTTTCGAGATCCCCATGCTGTTCAACCTTATCTTGGACAGACTGTATATATAAAGAAACACATTGAGAATTCGCATTCTCCATGTGATGAAAATATTAATTCTTTCTCGGTTTATTCAACAGAAAACTACTTTCCTGGCTATATGCCACGACGAACATTGAATTACATCTATTGAACACACACTTGAATTTGAAACAAGATCTTCTGAAGTAGAGAATTGGCATTCTCCATATAAAGATATGCCATAATATCATTCTGAATATTCAACAGAAAACAACTACTTTCCTGGTCATTTGCCACGTCGAACATTGAATTATATCTGTTGAATATCAAGAAAGAGAGCATGAAAAATCAAAATCCTCTGAAATCGAGGATTGACATTATCTCTCAAATCGAATAGAATTATGTGGCAAGAAATACGAATACCTGTTGATCAACTGCTGACGAGATATGCCGGGCTGAGCGGGCAGCGAGGCGTGGACGAGTCCGGTCTTGTCTTCGTGCTCCTCGTTGGGGTCCTGTTCGGGGGGATATTGGAGGTTCTCGTCCTGCACGGCGCGGTATAGGAGGCTGGGATGGTGCAGCGGACTGTTGTGGAGACTGTGCATGTGTCGACCCTGTTGGAGTAGAAACGTATTTGAAACCTCGGCCCTTTCTGGCTCGCACTTCGTTCAAAGGACCGCCATTGGTTAACGCCACTGACGTAAAAGACTATCTAGACCGCCAATACCGTAAGAAACATGACTCGATGTCATGAGCAATGAGCAGTAGTAAAGGTCGTCATCTGAAGTTGAATTCTCATGTCATCGCAACGTCAGATAATGACCTTGACTACCGCGAATACAAAAATTTAGTTGACAATTTCGGAAGCGGTAAGTTATATTTCGAAAAAAGTAATCTAGATTTCAGAATTGGTTAGTTCGATTCCAGAAATGGTAAACTCAATTTCAGAATCGGTGAGATGAATTTCAGAAAAAGTCCATTCTATTTCAGAAATGGTAAGTTGTATTTCAGAATTATTGGTAAGTTCAATTTCAGAAAATAAATCCTTATATTTGTTTAAAATGTTTTTAATTAATTGCAAAAGGGAAGATTGTTCACAGTGGATGAAACGGTGTTTGTTTGCACCTGCACATTCAATAATATATAGAAGAGATATGCATGGAGGAAGAATTTCAAGATTTTATATTCTGCAGATTGGCACCTTACAGCCCTATGTTGAACCTGATTGAACATATATGGAGTGCCATCAAGTCAGAAGTGAAAAGGTTTTTGCAAGAGCATTGCCAAAGGGTCATAGCCGAGGATCCAAACAGATCAACCAGATAGAATTCAGACTGCGATGTCGTATTAAGTATTACATAAATGAGTGAATAAGATGAGCAATGAATAAAGTTAACTAGCAACTGCCGATGAATCAGTTCTTGTTTGGCAGGCGACAGTGATTGCACAAATTATATTACATGTGAATTCCATTTCTGATCAAAGAGTTTAGTGAGTGGTGAATTATACACCTCCATCGCAGATTTGGAACACACTGTATATTATCTATACCTAATCTAGATTCACATGAAGCAATGATCGCTTTGTATAATGGTAACAGGATTGAGGTTCGTGATGTAATCAAATGCAACCATAGTAAAAAATAATGACCAGTGACACGTTTTCTGTCTAATTAGTAGTACTTAAACTATTCTTGAAAATGTCTGAAAGTCTAGAAAAAGTTCCTCCTCTAACTCCCGAGGGGAAACAAGCAAGGAAACTCCGAGGCCTCAGAAAATTCCGAGCCGTAGGCAGGCTAGTCATAGCGAATTTGTACTGGCTAAACGACGTACGAGACGCCAACATAGGCAACAACGTGATGCAGAACATCCAGATCCTCACGCGGAGAAAAGTGAAGAAGAGTTCGCTGACGCTCCAAGAAAAGGCAATCCTGAGCAAGCCGAAGGAAGAAAGAACGGAAGAAGAAAAACTGATTCTGTACAAAGTGATCGGCGGACTCAAGTGCTTCAGGAGGTACCCGGTTGAAGTGAAGAGCCAACTGGCAGCTGTCACTTACTTCGTGTACTTCGGGACAGGTAGGCAAATCGTCAAGCAAGATCACGTCCCGTTGGCCTTGTATTTCATGCTGTCCGGGGAAGCCAGCGTCACAGTTAGACACTACGATAAGCATCTGGATGAATGGACAGAAGAGGATTCGGGGGTACTGACACCAGGTACCATATCAAACATCTCAAAGTTCTACACAATCTGATATCGATGGCTTAGTGGCAATAACACGTATCAACGTTTCTTCAAGTTTTCAGGATACAATTATGTCTATTGGCACTTGATATCTCCAAGGCATTCGATCGAGTCTGGCACCACGGACTCCTCGCCAAGCTTCCATCTTATGGCTTGCCTCCCCAGCTATGTTCTCTGCTTGCTAGTTTTCTCTCAAACATGTCTCTCCATGTAGTGGTTGACGGAGTTTCATCTGACTCTCTTATCATATATGCTGGTGTTCCGCATGTCTACTGCATATCAACGATTTGTTGGAAGTAACTTCATGTCCAGTACACAGCTTCGCGGATGATAGTACCCTCCATACCGCCTTCTCTTCCAGGGCTCCAATACCAGCCAGGCAAATCAGAAATGAACGAGTAAGAAATGTTGACAACATAAATATGGACTTGGCAACAATTCTCGAATGGAGATTCAATAACTTGGTAGATTTCAATGCAAACAAAACACAAGCATGCCTTTTCTCTAGAAAAGCCGATCTCACTGTGCCCAATATGAGCTTGTTAGGAGTAACCATACCTTTGAAGACATCCATTTCGATGCTTGGTATTACTATCAGTAATAACCTTTCTTGGGAAAATCACGTGAGATCAATTGCTAAGTGTGCATCCCAAAAACTTGGTTTTCAGTTTCGGGCCAGGAGCTATTTCACTTCCAGTCAGCTGCTTATGATCTATAAGGCATGGAATACTGTTTCCATATTTGGAGTGCAGCACCCAAACATACCCTGAAACTGTTGGATTCTGTTCAAAAAAGGGCAATTCGTCTCGTGGGTGATACCTCGCTCACAATATCACCCACTTCTCTGGAAGAAAAAGTTGGCGATCTGGCTCTATTTCATAGATATTTTCATGGACGATGCTCTTCTGAAATATCAACAATTGTTCCTCCCTTGGCAATCCCCGCGAGATTAACCTGTTGAGTTGAGGCTTCGCACCCCTTCATCCAACGAACAGCGAGGCTCTGGAACACATTGCCAAGGGAGGTGTTCCCCGAGGCATGTAACCTCCAGAAATTTAAGAATAACACCAATTCCTACCTTATTTCCCTTGGTTCTCACGATGTTCTCTGAACATTACAGGATATCCTTTTTTGTGGGAACCAGAACATAAAAAAAATCTGTCGGGTATTGGTTATCAAATTGTACCCAACTTCAATAACACGTATCCTAATCTGCAAGAATGTTGGGAGTTATTTCATCAGAATGTGATGAATTCATTCGACAATCTCTTATATCGACTACGAAATATAGGAATTTTGGTTTTGGAGTGTTTCTTTGTCGACTTGATTTTTGTTTGGCTAGGCTACGCTTAGTTGGCGGTCTTAGGACTGCTGGCTGGAGACTACCCTGCACTGATGAGAGTCAAAGAGCTCGAAACCGGTGTGTAGGTGTCTAGCGTGTCCTGGCTAAATCGAAATCAATAGGCATTCAGGAAAGAATCACTTGTATTAGTATTCGTTTAAACGAGTCGATGCATAGATTTCGGGAGGATGTAATGCAATGTTCTGCGTGGTATTAGCCAGGAAATTAGTTGTTTTTCTCCCGAAATCTACCATTGTTGTTCATTTCATGAACATTGTGTGGAAATGACTTTGAGCTTTTTTGTATTTATTCAATCAAAAATAAATGGCAACCATTCATTAGTATTTTACTTAGCGTAATCTCATTCTAGAATTTTTTTATATTATTTCGGTGTGAATTTTTCTTACGGAATACCATTCTAGCTTCAATTACATAAAAACAAAAATGTTTTTTCGAATATTTGTAAAATTCTCAACATATTCGTATTCTTCAAATAATTTTCAGTAGATAATAATTGGAGCTCTGGTGGTGGATATTAAAAGTAACAATTCTGATTTTCCCAGGTACAATGTTTGGAGAGATAGCCTTGCTCCATGGCATTGCCAGACTCGCCACTATAACCACCACCACGCCATGTGAACTGCTGATGATAAAAAAAGAAGACTTCGATTCCGTCCTGAAAGAAACAGTACTGAAAGCTTGGACTGAAATTCAAAAAATTATGAATGAACTCTCGTATTTCAAAAGCTGGGATTCCATGACCAAGATAGAATGTAGTACGTTATCGAGAACCAAGTCTTTTGCACCAGAAGAAACAATACTGGGAGACGACATCGGGTCACCTACCTTCGTTTACTTCATCACGAAAGGAACTTGCTGCATCATAGAGAACTTGGAAGTGATGGTTATTAACGTGAAAGGAATCGAAAAATACCGATTATTGAATGGAGAAGCGGTACAAACAGATGGAAGTGAAGATACAGTCTCCGCCATCTTCGATAAATATCTAACCAAAGATCTGAAGAGTGAGTTCGGTTTAAGGGACTGGCGTAAAGACGATTCGTCAGACAAATTAATTGGATCCATGACACAAACAGGCGGCATGTCTGCATTCTCATCTGCACCCTCAAAGACTATGCGAACCGAGACCCATTTCATAAACGTTTGCGAGTTGAGAAAGGGCGCATGCTTCAACGTTGGAGAAAACTTACAAAGGAGGCGTGTAGTAGCTACCACTCCGACGCACTGTCTTTTGGTGCCTCGTTATTGGATAATGAAGAATAATTCTGACAATATATGGAATAGAGTGCAACAGTTTTTGAACAAGCACATTCCTACCTCAGAGCAGATATTCGATAATTTCATACATGAAAGGAAATTCAAACGGTACAGAAAGGGGTTGGTGAAGGACTTGCTTGCCGAGAAAAAGGTTGCGAATACTAATACTATTCATAATGTTCCATATAGTATTCGACTGAAGGAAGGAGTCGATGTTGATTATTCATAGAATTAACGATATTTGAAGGACTACTATGTATCTACAAGTCTATTAAAAGTGAGTGGAATACAGGTGAAGTTGTCAACAAAGCTCAGAATCACATGTTCTGACAGGCATCGTAGGCATTATTATCAAGACAATTTATATTTATTTATTAATTATTATATAATTTATTGTTTTTATAATAGCTAATTTACAATATATTTTAATAAAATAACATTTTTGATAATCTTCTTCGTGGCGCCTGCTAGAGTCACTGACCTATGAACAACAAATTTAGTTCCAACATAGTTTTTCCTTTTTTTTTATATTATCTTCTCTTCCTGATTCTCCTCTACAAAGCCAATTCAATTTATGACTCGAATTTTTTCCAAACATAGTAAGCTATGAAACAACTGTTGAAATGTTATATTTTACGTCTAGGGTGAACAAAATACTAGGTATAATGATAATATAACCAGGGTTATTGGATATAAAATGACAGGGATATTGCAAAACCACCATCTTGAATTATTGAATTTTCTTTTTGATGATGGAAGACAGGATAGACACTTCAGGATTATCATTAGGTCCGTTCATCTGTGTTCATTCAACTTGCTAAACTTGTTTCTTTGGAGACTTTCTTTGTTTACATTGTGCGATTACCAGAGACAACTACATGAAAAAAATCAACTCAAGCAGGTTTAAAAAGGCAAACGAAAAACAAGAAACTACAAAAGAATTTGTCAGTTGTCTACTTTTCTTTCTCAATATTATTGGCTGTGGTCCCCACACCACTGTACTTGATACTTCCAGTCTAATTATGGAATCAAGCGCCTTATTAATACAAATAACCGCACAAAATTTCAACAACTCTTTTTTAAACGACCCAACGAATTAATCCCTTAAGTTACGTACCGTACTTAGGGAGCACCCTGTATACAGCGTGTCTCAGTTCAAATGGCCCCCCTCCATTCGCGGTAGTCAAGGTCATCATCTGGCGTTGCGCTGACATGAAAATTACGGAAAATATAACCGAGCTACAGCCGCTGTAAGTTGGGTTAAAACAAAGATTATCTGAAACTGTGATCATACATTTCAAATCGTCCCGAAATTGGTATGCCCCTGTTTTTGTAAACACTCTTCCTCTTTTTTGCTGCACAAACTATTTCAACACAGTTTTGGGGAAGTTGAAGGGAAGTCCACACTAGGGTACCTCGATGCAAATTGACGTATTTGTCATCTAACAGGGTACGGACAGATCATAGCTCCTTTCTCTTTTAATCATCTAGTGACTTTGGTTTCGTGTATTGGTGTCCCTGACATTCATAGGCGTTAATAGAGATCTTACAAAATTTTAATTTCATACTTTATCTTGATACGACATTGTTCAATTCTGTTTTGGAAGGATGGTAAAATGTGCTTCTTTAGGTTGTATCAATCAGTTGGATGGCAAATTTGAATTTGTCAGCTTTCCATCAAATGCAAATGTACTTAGAACATGGAAAGTGAAGTGACCGAATAGGGAAAATTGGTAAATACAACAGTAAAATATTCGAGGTAAAACTAATATGAAATCACATATTATACTTTCTCATTGTTCCTATAATTATCCACTCCACAAGTTTTTGAATGCATTTCAGAAATGAAAAGAGATGCAACTATATAACTGTTTCACAAACACTTTAGAGTGAAAGGAGACGAGGATCTGTCCGTACCCTGTTAAGATGAAAAATACGTCAATTTACATCAAGGGACCCTAGTCCACACTTTTATTGACTCGGAGGGGAGCATTTTAGGACACATGTTTAGATAAAGAAAAGGCCTTATTTTGATCTCAACAATATGTCCTTGAAATGTTTACATCAAATTTTGAACCAGCCTGTATTGTTATTCATGCGTTTGAACCTCTATTCGCAATTCGCGGAAGCCAAGGTCATCAACTTAAATATTCCCAAGAAGAAGAAGATGAAACACAGTGAATCGGTGTAGTCTTTTCTTTTTTGAGCTTTGTGTGGTAATGTTATGGATTACACACCCAAAACAACGACGATTATACACTAGGTAGGTTCACGATTCCACCACCAGGTGGAGTCTTGATTTTTGGATTCGCGAATACGCAAAACATCACTCTATGACCTCACCTAATGCCGAAACCCTGTGTATGTAACGTAATAAAGTAACACTAGTTACCAAGACATTGATTTGTCATGAAATCCAATGTAACCATAGTAAAAAATTACGACCAAGCAGTGACAATATTTTTTTTTTCACGTTAGATATTTCATGAATAATCTCTGAATCGGCATTTCAAGATGTCTCAAAGAGTCAAGAAAGTACCATCTCTAACACCCGAGCAAAAACATGCCAGAAAAGTCAGAGCCCTCAGAAGATTTCGTGCTGTAGTCAGGTTAGTAATGGCGAACCTGTACTGGCTGGGAGACCTCGAAGATTCCAGAATAGGCGACAACGTGATGAAGAACATCCAGTTCCTCACAAGGAAGAAAGTGAAAAAGAGCTCGCTAACGCTCCAAGAGAAGGCCATCCTGTGCAAACCCAAAGAAGAAAGAACGGAAGAAGAGAAACTGATTCTGAACAAGGTGATCGGCGGATTGAAGTGCTTCCGGAGGTACCCGCCGAATGTGAAGAGCCAGCTGGCGGCTGTCACTTACTTCGTGTACTTTGGGACAGGCAGGCAAATCGTCAAGCAAGATCATGCCCCGTTGGCCATGTATTTTGTGCTCTCTGGAGAAGCCAGCGTTACCGTGAGGCACTACGACAAGTTTCTGGATGAATGGATCGAAGAGGATTCGGGGGTATTAACACCAGGTACCTTACCAAAATCATTATTATTGAATAGTACCTATAACCTAGAGTTCCTTGATGTATTTGACACTTCTGTATTGATGTACCTGTACATGGTGATTCATTAAGGGTGACGAGGTACTGTATCTCAAGAGCTAATAGTCGTAGAAGTTTGAGGAAACAATCCTTCAGAGGAAATAGACCAAGAAAAATTGCTGGAAATATTTTTTAAACCCATAGTCGTAACGTTAATAGCTGCGATCGTATGAAAAATGGATTTTTTTGAAAATTTTCCTTAATAAGTTCAAAAATGAATACACTCACGTGAATGCCACCATAATAGTCCATATTTTTTATTAACATTATTTTATTGTAGGACGTTAAATGAAGGCGGCAGAGGATTCTAAACTTCTTGGACTGTAAATGTTGATAACTTAAGATTGACTTAACGGAATTCTGCTAACAAGGTCTGGTTCAGTAGAGGAAGGTTTGGTGAATATAATAAAAAACCATCCATGCCATCCTGGTTCTTGCCGCCCTCGCAAGGGGGCGTGTTTTATAAAGTTAGCCGTTTTTTGAATTTTTCTCCGAAATCTTAAATGGAACCATATGATTATTTTATTAGATTCGGAAAGTAGATCAAATTTGCAACATAATTTGTTGAAACCGCATGTCGATATCTTTATTCGTTTAAAAGTTATTCCTATAATATAATTTTTCAGTTCAACATTCATCAAGACACTATTACCATTTTATTTTCTACTTCTTTCTAGTTTCGCTATCTATGAAAGCGTGTTTCTTCAGTTTTTCAAACTACCATATATTTCAACTTCTTTTCAGTTCATTTGAATTTCGCGCATAATGATGGCTATTACTTGAGTGGGTAATAGTCATTATGTGCGAGCAAAATACTATATCTACAACTATTCAAATATCAAAGCAACTCTGAGAGTTCAGAAATATATCTTTGGAAATAATGAAGGTTATCATATTGCAAAATCACTAAATCTGATTTGAAAACGAAAACTTATTGACAAAAATTTCAATCAACGAACAGCTTATAACTTATTTCAATAATTTTGATTGTGAAAATATGATAAACAATGTTGGATCTAACTTTTATTAACAGGAAAAAAGTCGAATATCAGTCAATCTTACCAGGTAATATATGTCATTTCACTTTTCAGTTGTAAAATGAATCATACTATTGCAGATTATTCATCAACTTGCTTCCGCTGTAGAATTCCCCCAATGCGATGATTAATTGTAGTACCCTGTCTCTATACGCTAGTTGTCAAGAATGAAGTTCCATGGTTCTGATTGGTCTTTACTAGGGTCCCTTGATGGAAACTAACGTTAAAGTCATCTTAACAGGGTACGGATAGATCCTCGTCTCCTCTCACTCTAAATTGTTTGTGAAACAGTAATATAGTTCCATCCTTATTCAATTCTGGGGATAAACACTAGATTTATGACATTTGTTGTTTTTTGGGTTATATTGAGGTCATTGGCGTATCATATGATGGAATTTTCATATGGAAATCCTGATTCAACTATACCAAGATATAGATGAACAATCCTCTTGATTTATAGTTTACTACTCCAGCATAATCTTCGCGAGGTAGGAAACATATAAATTGTACTGAAAGATTTATATACTTCACCAAAAGATACTGTTCTCAGACTGCGTATACCAGGGTTGACTGAATTGACTGATTGAATTCTGATTATTTCAAGCTGAGCAGCAGTTTATCTAAGAGCTGAATGAGCTGAGCCTTATGATTGAGAAATGGTGAAAACCTCGATGTGGGTATCTAAACTACTGTAATCTTGTCATGTGTGCTAAATATATTCTCGGAAATCCAACTCGGAGAAGAATTTATGGAGTGACTAATATCACACTATGTGTATAACTTATTCAATCGTAAAATCTTTTCATTTTCTTGAATTTTATGATCATTAACATTCAGAAATCATTTGACACTGTCAATATTTTCTTTTTTCAACAATATACAAATTGTATTGGGAACGAATAATAGATATCATTACTAGATTACTAGATGACTTGGCAAACGTTGTTTTGCTGTGCAAAATATTTCTGGAAAACATTATTTTAGTTGAATATTTACCAGCACACTTCATTCATCTCATTTTCTACTTCTTTTTAGTTCGGTTGTCCATAAAAGCATGTTTCTTCAGTTTTTCAAAATACTATTCATTTTATACTCCTTTTCAGCTCGGCAGTCTATCTCTTCAGTTTCTTAAACTACTATTCATTCTCTACTTCTTCTAAATTCGACTAAGTATCTACGAACGCGTGTTTTGATTTTTCAAACAACTATTTATTACATCTTGAATATCCCAATTTTGACAAAAAAATCATTAAGTTCGACCCCGAAAACCCCCAGATACCAATCTTTAATAGAATCAGATCATAATTAGAAATGTCTTTCGCCATATTGGATCCGTCATCTTGAATTTTCCAATTTTGACGAAACTATCATTATCTCCTATCCCGAAAACTCCCAGATACAATTTTAAATAGAATCGGATCTTAATTACAAAACTCGTACACCATATTGGATCCAGAATCTTGAAAATCCCAATTTTGACGAAATAATTATAATCTCCGACCCCAGAAATTCCCAGATACCTTCCAATTATGGATAGAATCGGATCATGATTACAAAACTCGTTCGCCATATGATCTTCCTCAACGAGTAGATACCATGTACATACCTATTATTAAAATTTTGAATGATATTCTGTAGCGCCCATGGATGTGACGTGACAGCAATGTCAGGGATGCCAGTAGACAAAACTAAAGTCTCTAGATCATTAAAAAAGAATGCAGCTATGATCTGTCCGTACCCTGTTAAGATGACAAATACGTCAGTTTACATCAAGGGACCCTAGTCTGTACTAATCTATTCGAATAGCCCGCACATAAGTGTGAGCCAATCTGCAACTGTCAAGTGTCAAATCCTATTTTATGGTTATGGTTACTCATGATGGTAGTCACTGTTGAGAATGAAAAACAGTGAATTCTCATTTTTCCGTGTATTTGTAGAATTGACGTGATTAAAACTATGAGAACCATGTAAGGCGAGTCTTTTGAATTTGCGTGTATTTCACAAACTGTAGTATAGTGGCGTGCCTTACTAGAACTAGTAGAACGAATACCTACCTAGTTGACTTTGACAAGACGATGGAATGTCAGATTATTACGCCATCCTACTGTCATCATTACTCTTATTACTCGATTCATCACAATAATGTCTGTCATTAAATGTTGAAAATCGAGTTAGCAATGTATGAATACTATAAATGGCTCCATAGTTGTAGATAAATGTGAAAACTACGTTAATATGTTCTTCACTGCCCTGATCGAGTCGTTGTGAAGGTTCAATAAAGCTTAGTTAAGAACAGAATTATATTAATAACTTGACATTACAGTCGCTAAATTATGTGACATTTTTCCTAACAACTCCTGTCTAGGATACTGGGTGATCTAAGTCAGGATTTTCAACAATAAATAATATTTCGTTATTATATTGGAATGTTATTATTCAAATGAGCCTACATTCAACTCTGTGTAACCCCTCGATGATTTTATTATTGTCACGCAGGAACAATGTTCGGGGAAGTAGCCTTGATCCATGGCATTGTAAGACTCGCCACAATAACCACCATCACGCCATGTGAACTGCTGATGATAAAAAAAGAAGACTTCGACACCGTCCTGAAGGAGACCGTTCTGAAAGCCTGGATAGAAATCCAGAAAATCATGAACAGATTCTCGTACTTCAAAAACTGGGATTCTGTGACCAAGCGAGAATGTAGTATCATGTCGAGAACAAAGTCCTTTTCTCCCGACGAAACGCTACTAGGAGACGACACTGGTTTACCCACATACGTATATTTCATCACGAAAGGCACCTGCTGCATCATAGAAAATTTGAAAATGATAGTCCGCGACAATAAGGGAATCGAAAAATACCAGCTATGGGGTGTTAATTATCCACAAGGCGAAACAGCAGTTGAAGAAGTCAGTGCCATCTTCGATAAATACCTAACGAAGGACTTTGAAAGTGGATCCAAGGGAGGTTTCATGGAATGGCATAAAGACGAGTCGACGTTTTTCACTGGAGGCATGATGGCGCCCACAGTGTCTACATTATCGACTGCTCCTTCAAGGGTGATCAGAACAGAAACGCATTTCATTAAGGTTTGTGAGCTGGCAGAGGGCGCTTGCTTCAACGTTGGAGAAAACTTTCACAGAAGACGCGTCGTTGCAATCACTCCGACGAATTGTCTTCTGATTCCACGTTACTGGATACTGAAAAATAACATTGACAACATATGGAATAGGGTGCAGCAGTTTTTGAACAAGCACATTCCTACATCGGAGCAGATTTTCGAGAATTTCATCCAGGAAAAGAAGTTCAAAAAGTACAGAAAGAAGTTGATTAAGGACCTGCTGGCAGAGAAGAGAGTAGCAAACAATAATTCCATACATAATGTTCCTTACAGTATCCGTCTCAAGGAAGGTACTGACGTGGATTATTCATGAAAATCACACATTTTGAAGGATTCCAAAACGTGGTGACTAAATAAGTGTCTATACATGATGTAATGACATGGTATCATTCGAAGATCATACTCAATATAGTGCATTACATTCCTCAGACGATTGAATAAATTAAAAAGATTATATGAGACTTGAAATGCAGTTTTAATCGAGAATACACAATATTACACAATCATTATTGGTTATCTACTCTAAAAATAGTTTTTGATAAACGGTCCTTCATGCCCCATTCACCCTAGGGACCAGGTTTCAACCTCCTAGCTCGATTTAAAATTTTTAGTGAGGTTATGTTTTATGTCTCATCGGAAAACTAGAATACCTCAGCAACAAAGGAAGTTAGACCAATCGCGTTATATATTTTATTGAAGGTCTCGACGAGATCCATCGATTGCCAACGAGAAAATATGAGAATCCATGGATCTTGGTTATATCAAGGGATACGAACGATTAGAACAGAAAGTCGTCATCAGCGACCTCGATTTACTCGAAAGAAATCTCAGATTTTTGTTCTTTCTCCAAAGGCTCAGAAAGTAGCGAACCGCTTGTCTGAATCTTGATTATCCTTAGTGATACGAATGATTTGTAGTGGAATTTGTTATAAGCAACCTCGATTTACGCGAGAAAAATTTTAGATCCTTGGTCTAACAGCTGGAAAAATAGCGAACAGCTGGTCTGATCTCTGATTTCTCTTCAATTACAAATTCACCGTACTCAATTCACCCTATGTACCAAGTTTCAACCTCCTAGCTCGATTTTTGATTTTTAGTGAGGTTATGATTTATGTCTTATGGAAAAACTGAAATATCTCAGCAACGGAGAAAGTTAGACCAATCATGTAATATATCGAATTGAAGGTCTCGACAAGATCTATCGATTCACTCGAAGAAATCTTAGATTTTGTTCTATCTCCGAAGGCTGAGAAAGTAGCGATCCGCTGGTTCGAACCTTGGTTATCTCCAGAGAAATTGTTCTTCTTGAAAGAAAAGTTCTATTATGCAACTAGGTATACGGTGACTGATTTCAGTGCTGAGGATCAATTTGCATGACAAACAGAATGCTTTGAAAATCTTTCCATGAAAACGAAGAAATTTTGACAAAAAAAAGAGATTTAGCCACTTTTTAAAAATTCTCATTTTCGAAAAACACCTTGTAACTCTGAAATAAAAATAGATATCGGTATGCGGTTTTCACCTTTGAGTTTGTCATGTTAATTCATTAACAGGCACCGACATCAGTTTTTTTTATCTTGCGCGGGAATAGGACTTTCCCTTTAAAAGTGCCTAATCTGGCCCACCCTGTACAATCCACATCTTTCAACACAAGAGGAATATTGGCAGATATTCCGAACATATGACCGTTTCTGAGTTGAATTCGGTATCACTAACGCAGAGGTTTTTGTGTTTATGGAAAAAATTATCTTGAAATTTCTCAATAACTGAAAGTTCAAACAGGATGACCATGAAATTGAACAGTTTTGGGATGTCTGACATGCAGCGCCTCCCTCTGTGAGCGAAATTCCATGCCAAACTACATGCTCATTCAATTCCTTTATTTCTTTTCGATGTTTTCATCTTTTTAGATCTTGTTTTGCAAAGTGTTCATTGCATTTGTAAAGAAAAATAGCATGTTTGATACTATTTAATCATCAACATAAAGAGTCCTACAAAAAGAAAAAAAATCGAAAACAAAACAGGCATCACATATTTTCAAACATCATTGCATATTCTATTGAGTTTTCTTTAACAACATACAGCATCAACTTTTTGACGGATTATTCATTCTAGTAGGGTACGGATTAGTCATCATTGTGTTATAATAGGCCTGTTCGTTTGTGCTTGCTCTACCTACTGAACTTGATTTTTTTCTATGACTTCTATGACTTTCTCTGTTCACATCATGCCATGAACAGAGACCACTGTGGGAAAAAAACAACTTCAACAAGTTCAGCAATACAAACGAACAGGCCTAATATGTGAGAACCAGTCTAGACAACAGGCAAAGGAAAATATATCGACTTCCTCAGTGTCCACACTGTATCCTCTGCATTCTCTGTATAAATGTCAGATATACTAATATAGTTGAAGCGTATTGTTATGAGTTCTGAGTAACCCTATCAGGTAATATGGGAACAGGAATAAAGCATACAACAGGGGAATATACATATATTGAATATATCGATGACATGCCCTTGATTCTTAACCTATGATTCCACAAAGTTATCCCTATCGCTGGAATTTGGATTCGTCGAAATATGTGATTTATTCACATATCGCTATGAACCTGACATTCTACTAAGCTGTATAGGACTGTACGTGGGCGAAAACTGACACCGAGGCCGACGCGCTGCTACAGCTGCAACAGGTCGAGTGCGACGCGTCAATTCAATCAACAGGTGAAAATATATTGAATAAATCGATGACAAGTCCTCAATCTTCTGCTCATGATTCAGCCATTCCATTTATTTGAACGTATCGAGATAAACCTTACATTAGGATCGTTGGAACATATGAATTGCTATTTCAAGATTGTTCTTATCATTCATTACCATTCGGTTGCCCCCTTACGAGCAACCCTCAGAAGACTTTAAGAGAATTGTGCCAGCAAGGATTGACGGGGGTCTGACCTTTTAACGTGAGATCCCAAACACTTTTTTAGGCCATCAGAAAAATTTCTGCGGTCTTGGTCTTGCGAACCCACCTACTGGCAATCCAACGTGGATAGAATACTGACGCTTCAACCACGAGACGCTGGCCGTTATACAAATTAATTCCAGAAATCAAAATTATAGAAAACAAATTGGAGATCGCACAAGTCACATCCATTTTTTTTATGGTAATTGTATGACCCTGCCATTCTGAAAAACCTATCTGATACTGTGCGTAAGCAAATACTGCTGCGTGGGCGACACGGAGACCTACACGCTGCTGAAGCTGCGCAACTTTTATCCCATTTAACCGAATCCGTATCTCTTGTAGTTTCCAAGATACCCATTTTGCCCCTCCTTATCTTGGACAGAGTTATATTGAATATATCGATGACATGTCTTCGATTCTCTGCCCATAATTCGGCAAAGTTATCCCCACCATTCGCCATTTCATTTATTTGAACGTATCGAGATGAACCTGACATTAGGATCGTTGGAATATACAGGGTGTCCCAAAATTGCTGGGACATCCCTGTTTCTCGAAGACCTCTCTCAATTCGGGCAAAAGTTTTATGATTCGAAATTCTCCGGTTTGGAAACCTCTCTTGGTATACGCGGGTACTTCTGCGACAGTTAACTTGACAGAATCCAAGAACTAAGATCATATCAATCTGCTCATTATAAGAGAATAATAATGAATGGTTGGTAATGGTGCTCGCGGTATTAACAAAATTGAAGAGTTTATTGAAACGTTTACAGACGTCAACAAAAAACTTGAATAACAATAATTTTGTTTCCTGTCAAACCTTGCCTTCGTTTCCACTGCCAACTGAGTTTCATATCACAATTTAATTAAACTTGTATCTTGTATCTGATAGCATTATTCGAGAGAACATTTTTTTTCTTTGAAACTATGCGGTATACGACATTTTCACAGGAGTAATAAAATGAAGGTAATTGATTAGTCTTCAAGGTCAAAAAATTTCAGAACCGTATTATGACCCCTAAAAAAAGTTCTGAAAAAAATGTCAGGACGAGAGAGTGGTTTTAACCCTTCTACAATTTCTTTTAGGTTTCTTTGATCACCAAAAAGAAAGTAATCCTCTGAAATACACTATTGCCGAATTTCATCAAATTCGTTCCACTTATCTCTGAACAGCGTACAAAAATGATTTTTTTTATGTGAACACATAAATAAATTGGACCCAATCAACTTATTTTGACCTCCTCTACACCCTACCCTGTATACTTGTAGAAAACTAAATGGAGATCGCACAATCCACATAATTTTTTTTAGTAATTGCATGACCCTGCTATTTTACCAACCTGTATGGGACTGTGCGTGGGCGAGAACTGCTGCGTGGGTGAAACGGAGACAGACACGCTGCTGTAGCTGCAGCAGCTCGAGTGCGACGCGTCGCTGTTGTTCCTGCTCAGGTTGGGCGTGAGCGTGATGTGCCGCTGCGTCAGCGGGCTCTGATTGGGCGAGCTGAACACGCTGTAGGCGGAGTGGACGGCCGAGTCTGGGCTGGGCGTTGGTGGCACGTTCAACGCCTTGTGCATGAGATCCTTGTGGCTGATGATCGGGGCGCCTCAGAAAAAAAAAATAAGATAGAGCTAGGGATCCCGTTTCAAAATCCCGGGATCCCGGGTGCAATATAACAGTAGCTACAGAAGAAACAAAAATGCAAAAATACATAAAACAAGTAGAGAATGTTTTAATCAAAAAATACAAAACCTAGTTTCTTTCTAGTGAGTACAGTATCAAAAAATTATCTAAGGTTATAAAACATAAAATTTGGAACTAGAGCCGGAAATAGGGAGAAAAATGTTATTGAAAGGTGCAATTGAAATGAACGAAAAAAGGAAAAAAGCAGACTGCAATTCAATCATCTGAAAAATCCAGATTCTCGGGATCATTTTTTCCGGATATTTTCTAGTATCCCGTGATATCGGGATATCAGATTGGAAACTCTAGATAGAGCGTATTTGACATCTTGGATTGATTCTGAGAGAGGTAAACATGCATTCAGAGACTAGGGTCGGTTCATCAATGATTGATGCCTTATTTTCCAAAGAGTATATCTTATTGACAAAAATATAATTTCCTAATACTAAATATGTGCATATTTTTGAAAAACAATGTCAAACATTTACACACACATGATAATTATAATTATCACATATAGATCAACAATGAATTAAGGCTCAACCTCTAGTTACACTGTTTCGCATTTTCGGAGTTTTCTGTAACTGAAAGCTAATTTCTGACAATGACAAAAAATATGAGCATGCTATGATTGACGGTTAGAACGCTTGTGAATATTCACCATGAGTGATTATGACGTCATGGATTACGTCACTCCTCGCGCTTAGTGCTCACAGTCCAGAGGTCTAAGCGCTGCTGTAAATAGTGTCACTACTGAAACTTGAAGAAGTAAACATGGGAAAAAAGTCCTGATATAAGTACGAGGTGATAAAATCACTTAACCTCTATATGTATGGAATTGAACAAAGGCGTTATATTATACAACTGCTGCATCAGCTTCCTCATCATCAGTATTTGACGAAGAAATATTATTTCGATAACGCTATCGTCATCACTGTATCAGTAATGAGAGAGATATTCACCAAACTTTGTCCATTTTTGCATGGACTATGATATTTGTTGTCCAACAAATACATTTTCATGTGAGGTTATGTAACGGATTTCATAAGTGCGCTCAAAATTCGGTCGAAATCAATAGTCATCTAAGCGTGCAAATCAATTCACACCAGCAGTGTCTGACACTAGAGTCCCTGTATATACCTTAGACAAGAGTCCGGACACAGCTATACTTCTGTCCTTTTCTGTTTTCAAAAAATGCATTGATGATTGAATAAAGGAATAAGACATATATATCGAGCTCTGTCTTTTCAATTTCACTAGTATCAATGATTGTCAGAAACAATTTTGAGGGTTAGATTATTTGTCAAACCGTTCATAGCCGTAGGTAGAAGTGAGAAATAGGGCTATTTTAACTAGAATAACTATTAGATTTTCAAATAATGAACAACAGGGTGTTCAAATTTCGAATCGATAATTTTCATAATCAATTCCTGAGATGGCTATTGCAAATTTTCGTCATCAGATATTTCTTCACTTCATTAGATATAAGAAAGATAATTTAAGTGTTCTACGTGGTATCACATATAGCCAAGCAAAATATAGTTGTTTTCTGTTGGGATATAAAAAAATAGAAGATATATAATTGTTTCAATATAATTTTGTCCGATTCTCTCAATTTAATAACACTCAGCAGAAATAAAGGTAAAGATGCCTTATTAATTGTGTTGGTTTCCCACCTCTTCCTGCAGTCTACATTCACCTGTAAATTTTGAATTTGATCTGAATTAAAAACACCGTGGAATGATGACATAGCACATTGCAATTTCTCTAAATCTTCTAGTTTTGATTTCAAACTTTCAATTTCTTTCCGCATCATCTCATTCTCATTTTCTTTCTCTGCGATCGTATCATTCAGTAAGCCCCAATACGATGACGATTGAACTCTCTTTTTATACGTCTCTATTTTATAAATTGACGGCACAGCAGACTCTTTCAATTTGAAATCTATCAGCTTGAAAGGATCTATCAAAATGGGACTAAAATTCATCTTTTTGTACTGTTTTTACAAGTAAATTTGAATATTTACCTCACATATTGCGGATTTCTTGAAATTAATTTTCCGTTCTGGACGTTTCATTGCATTATTTTCTAATGAATTATCGCAATTATGTACGCAGCAGGACATTGAAATAATTTAAAATGCTGAATTTTGGCGGTCATAAAATTTCAAAATGACAGTGACAAAAATTAGAAATAAATAAAAAAAGCGGACGGGACGACCATGGTGTTTCGTCACATTGTCAGGTGGGCAAACCAAATGAAACAAAATATCAAAAACCCCAACGGCTGTCAGTTTTGTGTCCGGACTCTTGTCTAAGGTATATACAGGGACTCTATCTAACACTAGCGCGCTCATTAAAATTAGCTCAAGTCGGACCGGGGAGTGAGTATGGATTGTTACTATTATGTCATTAAAGAATCACATTTTTGGAGTAATGATGGAGATAAGGCTATATACTGTGAGATAAAGAATTGATCCATATCAGAATTTTGATGATGGAGCTTGCTTCAGAAGATTTCATTATTTGAAACCAGGAGTTTGTGGTCCTGGAGCAAATAAATGGAGAAATTGTAACTCCAACAGATAGGTATGTAGGAAACACATATTATAGGATGAAATTTTTGAATTCAATATTGATATAAATGATATTTAATTTATATGTTGTCACAGGAATCATATTAAATAAATCAGTTTGATGCTGCTTTCATATTGTAGAGTTTCTTGACACACAGAAGTGAACAGCTATCCTATTTTTGCCTTCTAAGGTTTCTTTATTTTGTGTACAAGTCACTGCATTAGTTCTTTCTCCTAACAATAATTTGCATTCACTTTCTCCAAAATCTGCTACCATTCCCATAATGTTGTGGTTTTTATCCATCTCATGACTTTTTTGACAATATAGATAATAGATAGTATAAACGCCGGAGCAAATAAACCACTGACGTAACTACTATGTCGGTGGAGTAGACACTGATTCTATAGGTTAACTGTGAGAGGATTCTTCCACCAATCAAATCACTGCTACCAACATTCTATAAGTCTGAGTAACTGAGTAGTAGATAAACAGGATTAGATGCCTTAACAATGACTTCAACTATTTGTCAATATTAGCTGTCACTGCTGTCAGTCAGTTAGCAAGCAGTTTCATCCAAAATTATCAGTAGTAATATCCCTAGGACATTTATAATAGACGAGAATTTCATGACAATCTGAGATCTTCGGCTGAAAAAAATGTGAAGTTGTCAAAGTCGATCGTGTTGTCTTAGTGATTGATAATTGTACTGACTGCAGTTATCAAAATTTATTTTCACAAGACCGACTGACAAAGAGGTCCGATTGGTATTCCTTGTTATCCATTCAGAATAAAAAAGCCCCCAAACATAACTCGAAGAATACCTACCGGTGATAGGATGACGCTGGCTAAGTAAGGGAGAATTGCTTGGTGTGCTGTGTAAAGAATAGTTTCCCATTGGTGGTTGTTTCAGTCGGAGAATGGGGCTGTCTTTTGTATCGTTCACAATGGCTGCCTTAGATTGACACAGCGAGAGATTCTCTGGTACCTATAATAATGATAACAATATGAATAACCACTGGAAAGATAATGGACATAACCCTCAGAAAGAGTCAACCGCAGGCACGTGCTCGGGGTTTTCGGTCCTTATCAATACGGTGAAATAGTGCAAAGGATAGGCAACACATGGTAGAAAACGAAACAACAAATCAGCAAACAGAAGCCAGCCGCAGGTTTGTGGTTTCGGTCAGCAGACCACAGCAAAAACTAACGTCACCAAGGAGGCAGCTATAGCTTCCTGCGTGACATCTAAGTCCAGTAAGGGCTATGACCATTATTCTCTCCCTAGTTTTTTAAATCAGTCCCGTTGATATTCTTTCCATCTTCCATCATGTTTGTAATGGTGGAGCTGTAGCTGGCTTCCTAGTCGTTGCTCTGGAATGCAGTCTGCTAACCAAAACCACAAATTGCGGCGGGCTTTTGTTTGTTGACCCCATTGATTGAATTTGCTTTTTCTGTGACGGGAAAAATGTTTGACATTTCTTCTCCGTTAATAGGTTATAAAATGTCACTTTTTATAAATTACTTTTTTCTCATGCTGGGTTCATAGATTCAATTAAATTAACAACAACAATTAATAATCATGAGGGTGTTTATACATATCTGATATCAATTAAGAATTAAATGTGAAATGTCTTTTGATTAAAGATCAAAATGATGTTAAAAAGTGATTTTGGTCTGCACAATTCATGAATCCATAAAAAATAATTCAATTAAATATCTCCAAACCCCACATGAACAATAACCAATTTAATAATCGCATGTTCTGTCTCCAAAAATTCATAATGCTTAGTTGTTAAGTTGAAAGTTGGCCGACTTTGAAATTCTTAATTCTTGATTTAAATGACAGATGTGAATGTATAAACCCCCATAGATGTTTCCTTGTATTCAACTTTTTGAGTTCATAGTTGTTAGATTAATTCCTAGTTTAGTTGAACCTATAAACCCAGCCCGGATATATAGACATACTGTTGATGGCTTTTGTTGTGGTAGTTTCGATAAATAAACCAATAACACCGTTTCCGAGAAAGAACTCCGAGAAGAAAAGTCCTTTTTCATTCCATTTTGCGGTTAAGTAAATTACTGAACAACCACTTCGAAATCTTTTAAATTGAATCCCAGAATGGGGGAGACCACTGATTTTTTAAAACGACATTATCGTGTACTCTATACTAAAATACTACCAGCGAATTAATTTTGAATTTTGTCATTCATGCTAGACGATGAAAACAATAAATTAGAATATATCCATTTCAAAGCACACAATTCCTGCGCCATTTGAAATTTTGTCAATTTATTGGTGTGACTGGTGCGACGTCTTAGTCCCAACACGCCTATTGTCCTTGAACTGACCAATCACACTGCAATACTGCAGAATGACGAGGTATCAGAGAGAGATAGCTACAGGTTGAGACTAATACGTCACGGCTCCACCATCATATTTGGCTGTTTGAAATATCGAATGAAATATGCATGATTTCAAAAAGATTTAGATTCGATTCCCTTCAACTTCAACTCATAATATTGATTGTACATCAAACGTAACTCATGATTCGTCGATTAAAAGAGGTTTGCACGGATTTCTTCTCTCAGTGGTCTTCCCCATTAGACTGACAGATATTTGATTACCTAAAAAGAATGATATAGATGCCTGCAAAGCAGGTGTAATTGAGACAACACAACCTCGGCTTTTCCCCTTGTATAATAAATTACAATGATTCGTCTTCTACCAAGTGTTGCACTTTTTTCATCGTACTGATGAGGGCCTGTGTCCATATTTTCTTCCCAAATTTTCAAAACAGTCCCCTTGATATCCCTTCTATCAAATATAAATATAAATAATAATAATAATGATTGGATTTCAAATTCAACAACCTTTTGGCTTTTGTTACTGACCTGTGTCGAATTTTCTTCATCGATACACATACCATCCCTCTCCCCATCCGACAATTCCCCCTCCCAACTCATAGGCCTGGGGATATCGTCTCGCTGTTTTTTCGATCGCATATTGACCGAATGGAAATCTATCCTGGCTACTTCGGCATCTGAACTATCTAACACGTCCAAGGTTCCTAATCAAAAAAAAAATAATAATTGGTCTCTTTTTATTGTACACAAGCCAAGAGAAACCCATATACAGGATGATACAGAAACAAATTATATAATTAATCGAATGGATATAATAGGCAATTTCACTATGACTGAAAATAACGCTTTTTATATGGCGAACGGTCTCATACATGACTCAGTATATCAAATAGCACTTTCTCTCATCTTTTGATTCCTTTACAACCGTTTGAGGACGGCCAAGGTTATCTTCATTCCCAAGCCTGGAAAAAGTGATTACACCCAGGCAAAATCTTTTAGGGCCATCAGTCTTACGTCTTTTCTTCTCAAGACCACAGAAAGACTGGTGGACAGATACATCAGAGAGGATATACTGACCTTATATCCACTCAGCAACCTTCAGCACGCCTACCAAACTGGTAGAAGCACGGAGACAGCTCTCCACCGTCTCGTCCACAGACTCGAGGGCGGGTTGGACCGTGGCAGTGCCACTCTAGGCATATTCATCGACATAGAAGGAGCATTCGACAACACGTCATTTGACTGCATATGTCAGGCAATAAGAGAAAGGGGCGTGGCTCCATCCATAATAGGGTGGATCCACGCCATGCTTTCCCAGAGATTAGCTAAAGCAACTCTCAAAAGTAGCTCTAGCGAGGTCACGCCAAAGAAGGGCTGCCCACAGGGGGGAGTTCTGTCGCCTCTGTTATGGTGCCTAGTAGTGGATGGTCTCCTATCAAAAATAAAAGATTTGGGGTACTACACTCAGGCCTACGCGGACGATATAGTCATCCTGGTAGATGACCAGGGGTCGGGCCTCGTGAGAGGTACGATACAAAGGGCACTTGACGGGGTGGATGTATGGTGCCGTTCAGTCGGGCTGAGCGTGAACCCTGAAAAAGCGGAACTAGTTCTCTTTATTAGGAGACGCATAAAAGGGAACCTCCCAAACGTCCAACTTTCTGGCAGGTCTCTGCAATACAAAGGTTCAGTCAAGTACCTTGGGGTCATTTTAGACTCCAAGCTGAACTGGAACGAACATATCGAACATAAAGTTCAGAAAAGCATGGCCGCGTTCTGGGCATGCAGAAGAGCGTTTGGAAGCACGTGGGGGCTCAGTCCCAAGATTATCTACTGGATCTACACGACTCTCATACGTCCAATGATTACGTACGGAGCCATCGTATGGTGGCAAGGTACAGCATCCGGCAAATCAAAAACTCAACTAGACAGAGTGCAACGACTTGCCTGCCTTGCCATAACGAGTGCAATGAAGACGGCACCCACAAGGGCACTGGAGACACTTATAGGTCTGCCACCCCTGTACCTCTTCATTGAACACGAGGCATGCAAAGCCATCGCCCGTCTGCGGAGCTCCAACCAATGGAGGAGCGAGGGAAGAATGCAATGAAATACAAGGTGTTCCATTTGAAATAACAAAGTTGTTGCTTCTTTTCTTTAAAAGCGGCAACGCCGCAGGGCTGAAAATATTTTAGAAAGATGTCCCCCTCGAAAATGTAGTTGACCTGTTTCAGTTTTTTTTGATAATCCGGTTTTGGCGACCTACAGGTACAGAGCCTCTGTTTCGTTTTCAAAGGCCCACTCTGTACAGTGTGTCCAGTTTTCGATGCTTTTGCGTGATATCTCAGTTATCTTTCGAGATAGAACCTTGCGGTTTTCGCGGTCCTGTACCACTTTTCTGTGAAACTCAAGATGGCCTAATCAGATTTTGCATAACTGTTTGCGTTTATGAGATACAGGGCGATTTTGAAAATTTATACTTTTTGGACCCACTCTATATCTACGAAGTTTCTCAGCGAAAATGTCAAATTGGAATCTCATCCCATACAGCATTTTGCGCAGAATTCAGTGGCGCATTCAATTTTTTTTTCTGGGTATGGTTTCGGAGATACGACTCAAACTTATGATTTTGAAATGGAACACCATGTATTTTATAAGCTCATTAAATTCCTTATTTTTTTCCAACAAAATGAAATATGATGAATAGGTATGAAATTTTGAAAAATGCTCCAAAATCTAGACTAAAACGTCGAATTTTAATAGGAATATTTCATTTGATTCTTCCATGAAAAGGACAAAAACAATCGCAACACTAGTTAATTAAGATAACACAAAATTTAGGTACCTGATAGAAAAAAATGAATGGTAATAAAAAGTTCATATTCTAGAATAAGCACCTGATTTAATATTCACTAAGACAATTGAATTTCGAAATTAATCAGTAACTTATTCATTGAATTGTTCAAATTGATATCCACTTTCCCTCACATGCTTTCTCAATACGTCTTAATGCATTCAAAATTATTAAAGGATGTCTTTGTAATTCATGGAAAACTGCCTCTGTTGTTGCACGAAGGTCTTCAAGATATTTGTGACTCTTACTGTATGAAGACGTATTGAGAAACTGTGTCAATTGTGTGTTATGGGAAATGGACATCAATTTGAACAATTCAGTGAATAAGTTATTGAATAATTCCGAAATTCAATAGTATTTGTGAATATTTAATCTGGTGCTTATTCTACATTATGAACTTTTCATTACTATTTATTTGTTGCTTGTTTTGTCCTCTTTATGGAAAAATCAGAATGAATATTCCTTCGATTGAAACTTTTTTATAAGAAAAATCCATAGCCCACTATTAAAATTCAATGTTTCAGTGATTTCAGAGCATTTTTGAAAATTTCATATACATACATAATAATTCATTTTGAAGAGAAAAAAATGAGGAATTTTATGAGCTTATGAAATACAGGGTGTTCCATTTAAAAAATTATAAGTTTGAGTCTTATCTCCAAAACCATACCCCGAAAAAAAATGTTGAGTGCGCCACTGGATTCTGCGTAAACATTCATATGGGATGAGATCCAAATTTGACATTTTTGCTGAGAAACTTCGTAGATATAGAGGGGGTCCAAAAAGTATAAATTTTCAAAATCGCCCTGTATCTCATAAACGGAAACAGTTATGCAAAATCTCACTAGGCCATCTTGAGTTTCACAAAAAAGTGGCATACGATCGCGAAACCCGCAAGGTTCTATCTCGAAAGATAACTGAGATATCACACAAAAGCATCGAAAACTGGACACACTGTACATATAAGGTGACACCCTTCGCAAAAGTGGACGCACCGTTGGCGATGAAAGCGGCCGGATGGGGCGCGCTCCTGGCCCGCTCGGGCGGCCTGAGGGCGGCCGCGGGCGGCTCCACGTTGATCGCCGTTACGGACACGTGCGGCGAGCGCGTCTCGGCGGCCATCGCCGGGGGACGGCTGCGCGGGGACGGCGTCAGACCGCGCCAAGCGCTTCTTGCATCGGGCGGTGGGGCGGGTGGCGGGGGGAAGGCGGCAATTGGTCACTGGAAAAAATAAAAAGAAAATGGATATTGGAACATAATTATATTACAAAATTCGTCCGCAATATTGGATCCACCATCTTGAAATCCCTAATTTTGACGATGGAATCATGATTTTTTATCCCGAAAACGCCCACTTACATATTTTGAATAGAATCGGTATATGATTACAAAACTCGTACGGTATATTGCTTCCACCGTCTTGAATTTCCAAATCCCGCCCTTTCCAGATTTTGACAAAAGAATCATAATCTCCGACTCCGAAAACATCCAGATAACAACTTTGAAGAGAGTCGGAACATAATTGCAATACTCGTCCGCCATCTTGAATTTCCTGATTTTGATGAAAGAATCATAATCTCCGATCCCGAGAACCACCAGAACCAAATTTGAATATAATCGGATCCTAATGACAAAATCCGCCATTTTGGATCCGCCATCTTGATTTTCCAAATTCTGCCCGAATTTTCAAATTCTGACGAGAGAATTATAATCTCCGACCTCGAAAACCCTCAGATACCAATTTTGAATAGAATCGGACCATAATTACAAAACTCGTCCGATATACAGGGTGTCTGTAAAAGGTCTTTACAAAAACATACCACATATTCCTCAGACCAAAATAAGTCGATTTACGTAAAATTACCTTAGAACAAAGTTGCATCGTTTGTGCTCCAGAGGGTCTTGAAGTTACAATTTTTAAATCGTTTTTCCCATATAAATTTGAAACGGCATATGCGATTTTGATGAAATTTGGTATATTGATAGAGTTTTATATGGTAAAAGAATGGTGTTAAATTTATATGGAAAACACAATTTAAAAATTGTAACTTCAAGGCCCTCTGGGGCCTAAACGATGCAACTTTGTACTAAGGTAATTTTACTTAAAATTATTTTGGTTTAAGGAATATGTGGTATGTTTTTGTAAAGACCTTTTATAGACACCCTGTATGAGATCAGCCATCTTGAATTTCCTAATGGTACCGGGATAAAAAGTATCCCATAACCTTCTCCTGGTTCTAAGCTACCTCCCCACCAATTCTCAGCCAGATCGATCCAGTAGTTTCGGAGGCTATCTAAACAAACAAACAAACAAACAAACAAACAAACAAACAAACAAACAAACAAACAAACAAACAAACAAACAAACAAACAAACAAACAAACAAACAAACAAACAAACAAACCAACCAACCAACCAACCAACCAACCAACCAACCAACCAACCAACCAACCAACCAACCAACCAACCAACCAACCAACCAACCAACCAACCAACCAACCAACCAACCAACCAACCAACCAACCAACCAACCAACCAACCAACCAACCAACCAACCAACCAACCAACCAACCAACCAACCAACCAACCAACCAACCAACCAACCAACCAACCAACCAACCAACCAACCAACCAACCAACCAACCAACCAACCAACCAACCAACCAACCAACCAACCAACCAACCAACCAACCAACCAACCAACCAACCAACCAACCAACCAACCAACCAACCAACCAACCAACCAACCAACCAACCAACCAACCAACCAACCAACCAACCAACCAACCAACCAACCAACCAACCAACCAACCAACCAACCAACCAACCAACCAACCAACCAACGAACGAACGAACGAACGAACGAACGAACAAACAAACAAACAAACAAACAAACAAATAAACAATCAAATCTTTCCTCTTTATAATATTAGTATAAATAGATGATGAATCTTCACAAGATAATCCACAAATTATTCAACCCTGTATAATAATGACGAAATATCACAACTTGTGTGGTCAGCCACCGCAATGCCAAATAAAGTTACCAACTACCTCAACTTCTTTATTATTCCAAGAACGCTTAGTTTCAATACCTACCCGATACCTACCTATTCCTTTGTAAAATAAGGCTTTCGTAATCATTCTTTTTTTCTTGTTTTAAAACCTGTCGCATTCAAGATATTTCATAAGTTATTACGAGTGAAAATATTGTTTATTTAGTCCACAATGCAGATTTCATTTCAAGACTGTCTCACCTTGAATTTTACAACTGTTTACAGAAAGTCCCTGTCTGAATGGTTGAAGGTATGCGAATGCGAAACCAGAATGTCGAATTCGTTTCAGATTGGTATTAATAATAATAATGAATGTATGTTTCTACAAACATTATTCAAAGTTCACCTATCAACACCAGATGTTTTCAATAAAAATGTGACCTAAAGACTCTAGTGGGTGTTGAAAATAATCAATTGTAGTTTAAAAACTAGATGAATACGCTTTCATAGATAGCCAAACTAAGAAAAGTTGGAAATAAAATAATAAAAATGTGTGGATGAAAAATACACAAAATAGAAAATACCTCGGAAAATACTGATTACGGATGTGCTTAAATTTTTTCCCGTTGACCTCGTATCAAGACTAAGTTTAACGTATATGAAATCGTTCATTAATGACCCCTATTAATGAATGATTTGTCTATTAATGCACGATTGTTTTATAGGCAACCGAACATACACCGCGTGCATTCATTGTTTATGCTTCAACTTACGGAATTTGCATTTAAATCGAAAATATGGATTTCATCGAAGATTTTCCATTAACGGGTTCGCCTTTCAAAGTTTCTGACACGATTTTAAATCCTGTTTTCTAACACAAGGAATTTATTTTCTATGTTGATCATTTCGACAAATGTCAAATGTCACTAATGTCAGTAACAAGGCTACTGGGTGATTCTTAACAGTTTCCAGATGAATGATGAATTCGCGATCCAAGTTTTCTCCATTGCAGAAGAAATGACAAATATAGTCGACGGAAAAATTTTGTAACCAACTTGTATATTAAAAGGCGATTAATGATCTCGAACATTAACGCACTCGCTTCGCTCGCACGTTAAAATATCTCGATCATTAATCGCCCTCATTATTAACTATTATTTTGCGTATTTATCACAACACACTTTCATCATTGTATTATCAACTTTTTTTAGTAGCCAAAAGATTAGGAACACCATTTTCGTCAAAAGTTCTTATCTGATTCGGACGTTCCTTGTTTTGAATGACAGGTTATTTCCTTCTGAACATTGGTGTGCAAAGTGTACTCGCATAAAATCCTCTTTTTTATACATACCGAGATACAGGACCATCCTACCATCAAAAATAATATTCAATATCAAAGAACTTTAACCTATTTTGGATCATCAACTGAAAAATTAGCTTCATTTCTACATAAACAGGACTTGAGAGTAGCATATAGAACAAATACAACCTTCCCAGTTTATCAAAAATAATAAAGACAGAACTTTTTGATTCCAAAAATCAGGGGTTTACCAACTTAACTGTGGATCTTGTCCTAAGGTATATATCGGTCAGACAGGTCGTACTTTTCATCAGCGCATTCATGAACATAAGATGATTTTTTTGAAAGAGAAAACGAATTCAACATACGCCAACTATAAATTAGAAGGAAACCATAGTTTCGATGATAATTTCGAAATTCTACACGTAGAAAATGAGGGAATAAAACTCAATCCTTTTTAAATTATTAGGTTTTGATGATAATTTGGAAATTCTACACGAAACAGAATGGGAAGTCACAAGTTGAATTCAGTAGTGCGTATTTCTGCAGCGGTCATGAAAAACTTCTTGGCAAAGACGGCCTATACCCAAAATAAGAGACCTAATGTCATGTTGGTTCACGTTTTCCCAAATATGAATCATCAGTCTCTCCCGTGCGTTTTCCAAAGTATAATTCAAGTTACATTCCTCTTGTAATCTTGTCTCAAGAATGTCCCAGAAATGCTCAATGGGATTCAAATCTGGGCTACGAGTTGGCAAAACCATAGTAGAGATACAGACTTCATCTAGATCATTTCTCACAACTCGGGTTTATGTTCGGTGACTCGGGCGACGTGGAGCCTGGCATTATCTTGCATCAACAATAGTTATTTGTTTTACTAGGCAGAAAAGTTCAAGATTTAATGCCGCGGCTGGCGTTTTATAGCCTAGGCGAGACCACGCAAAGTCCAAATAATCCATCATTTCTTGTTCACCCAAAGTCATTGTCAATTTTGATTACCAATTTGATTCAAATTACTTGGGACGTTGCACAGCAACAAACTTTTTCTGCCTAGGCAGTAAAAGTACACCTTTTCTGCCTGTTTAGTGTCATTGAAAAACCACTTTTAATGTAATTTGGAGGAAAAAATGTTTACAACATTGGTGGTTCACCCCGATAAACTTAGCAGAACAATTTCAACATTTCAAATTCGCAATAGTCCTATAATTTGTTACTTATTTAGTACTAATTCATTACCATATACGCGAATTTATTACCCTTCATTTAACAGAAAAAAACAACGACTCTGCTAGTTTTAAGTCAACCTAGCAGAACCATATCTGAAAATAAATTTTTTTGATAACTTCAAATATACCATAATCTATGACTATCTAATTACTAACTTATAATCGTAATCGCGAATTTTTTACTCATCATTCGATGGAAAAAAAAACGCCGATTTGTCAATCTCGATCTCAACCTAGCAGAACCAAAACTCGTAATCACATGTTATTGAACATTCTATTGAGTCATCAATCAGTTACTAGTTTATTACTAATTTATTACCATATTCGCAAATTTACAACTCTTCTTTCATTAGAAAAAACCAACGGCTCTGCTTGCTTTATGTCAACCTAAATGATTGTGTGGAAATGATTTCGATATTTTGTATTTTCTTAATATTTCATCTCACTTTGAGCATTGTAGCTATTTCGTAGTTGGAATTTTAAATATGTAAATTACATTTTGGTTTTTCATCATGTGAAATATTTTACCCAGAACAGTACTTCCTGTAACAAATAATGTTTGCTGATGATGAAGCTTTGAAGCTTCGAAACATGTACCAATTCCAATGTTGAATAAAGTCTGTAAGATTTTCTTCCTGCCCTATTAAGAAAAAAACATATACTTCAAGTAAGGCTGTATAAGATTACATTGTATTTTTG